ACGGGCAGGGACACCTTCCACTGGAGCAGCTTGCTCCAAGCCCCGTCCAACCTGGCCTTGAACACTGCCAGGGATGGGGCAGCCACAGCTTCTCTGGGCACCCTGTGCCAGCGCCTCAGCATCCTCACAGGGAAGAGCTTTGCCTAAGAGCTTATCGCAGTTGGATGCTGCTTGGTTACTAATGCTGGTGGGCCTGATAATATGGAGTAATTATTAATGAAGTATTTGCCTTGTTGGCTCTCCGTGGAAGTCACCAGTAGGAACAATGTGAAGATGCAGGGCACTAGTTCAGTTACTCTGCACGACTAACTCATAGCTTTCTTTTGTAAATCTCATAGCAGCCTTCCAGTATCTGAAGGGGGCCTATAGGGATGCTGAGGAGGGACTCTTCATTAGGGACTGTAGTGATAGGACAAGGGGTAACGGGTTAAAACTTAAACAGGGGAAGTTTAGATTGGATATAAGGAGGAAATTCTTTCCTGTTAGGGTGGTGAGGCACTGGAAGGGGTTGCCCAGGGAGGTTGTGAATGCTCCATCCCTGGCAGTGTTCAAGACCAGGTTGGATGAGGCTTTGGGTGATATGGTTTAGTGTGAGGTGTTCCTGCCCATGGCAGGGGTTGGAACTAGATGACCTTAAGGTCCTTTCCAACCTTAACTATTCTATGATTCTATGATCCTTTAATTTCTCTGCAAAGATCTTGCTTCTAATATTGATCAGGCCAGGTTCTACGTGGCTTGTGGTACCTGAAACAGTGGTCATTGAAAAGAACAGAAATCAGTAAAATTGAGTTATTTTCTGTATATATAAAACAGCAGCAGAGGTTATACATCAGACAAGGTACAGGGCAGGGTACAATGAATTCAGTGACACAGTACGAACACCCATGTTCTTCAATTTGAGGTGACAGGAGAACAAACAGGAATCCTGATCCTGCGAGGTCTGTGTGCAATTATATGGGCAAATGGGAGTTTCTCTACATTTACACAGCTGTGGCTGAGTCTGAATCTGGGTGTTGGAATTAAATGTTAAACTGGTACCTTTATCTCCTGCTTGCTAGCAGTATGCTAGAGGAAAAAGAACCCAAATAGCATGGATTGCTAAAATTCAGGTGTTTATTCTGAATTTCAGATGTTGTCTCCGGGTTGTCCATTTGAAGCTTATTTAGTTTACAAAAAGTACACTTTTTTTTATGCAATAGAAGCAAATATAGAATCATAGAATAGTTAGGGTTGGAAAGAACCTTAAGATCATCCAGTTCCAGCCCCCCTGCCATGGGCAGGGACGCCTCACACTAAACCATCTCACCCAAGGCTTTGTCCAACCTGGCCTTGAACACTGCCAGGGGTGGAGCAAATATACTTTTAGTGTTTTCTATATTGGCTAAAAAGAGTTTTGGGAAATGATATAATTATGGCTTTGTTCAGACTTGTCCACTCCCATTCCCCTTGGAATTGGCTACAGGCTGGCAAAGTATAGTAGCCTTTATTGTATTGAGTACACAACCGTTCTGCAAAAGATGTTTAAGCCAAAATGGGCAATGAAGGTGAGAGATTTCAGCTCTCAGACCACTTGGTTATGGTGATATCTCTTGTGCCCCTAGTATGCCACAGTGGCTCTGTGATTAAAGCTTTATAAGTCTTAATTTTGAATTTCTTGTCTTTTCTTATTTGGGGTGCAGATTGCAAACTTCTGTTCAGTTTCCATATGCTTCCCCAACTAAACCACCTAATAGGAGGCTTATGAAACATGCTTTTATCTGCTGTTCTGGAACTGCTTTCCTTAGTGAATCTATAGCTGAAGCATTTGTAGAATGTTTGATTTCCCTCAAATTATAGATCTACTTTTGCAACCCAAGCGACCAAAGAGCAGTCTCAGCTCACATAGTGACACCTGGGTTGGGGCAACCCCAGGCACAGCTACAGGTTGGGTGAAGAAGTGATTCAGAGCAGCCCTGCGGAGAAGGACTTGGGGGTGTTGGTTGATGGGAAAATGAACATGAGCCGGCTTCAGTGAGTGCTTGCAGCCCAGAAAGCCAACTGTATCCTGGGCTGCATCAAAAGGAGCGTGACCAGCAGGTCGAAGGAGGTGATCCTGCCCTCCACTCTGCTCTTGTGAGACCTCGCCTGGAGCATTGTGTGCAGTTCTGGTGTCCTTAACATAAAAAGGACATGGAACTGTTGGAACAAGGCCAGAGGAGGCCATGAGGATCATCAGGGGACTGGAGCACCTCCCGTATGAAGACAGGCTGAGAAGCTGGGGCTGTTCAGTCTGGAGAATAGAAGGCTGTGTGGAGACCTCAGAGCAGCTTCCAGTGTCTGAAGGGGGCCTATAGGGATGGTGGGGAGGGACTCTTCATTAGGGACTGTAGTGATAGGACAAGCGGTAACGGGTTAAACAGGGGAAGTTTAGATTGGATATAAGGAAGAAATTCTTTACTGTAGGGGTGGTGAGGCACTGGAATGGGTTGCCCAGGGAAGCTGTGAATGCTCCATCCCTGGTGGTGTTCAAGGCCAGGTTGGACAGAGCCTTGAGTGATATGGTTTAGTGTGAGGTGTCCCTGCACATGGCAGGGGGGTTGGAACTGGATGATCTTGAGGTCCTTTCCAACCCTAACAATTCTCTGATTCTGTGACCCTTGTCACTGTCAGTCCAGGGGAAGGATGAGGCTGGTACACACCATAGGTTTCTACCATGTTCTCCTTCACTTTACCTTGGCACTTCCATTAACAAAGGTTTCAGAGCCGTAGCAGGGGATTGCTTTTCAGTACATTTGCCTGTTAAAGGTGTAAACGTCCTCCAGGAGGTTTTTCCTGATGGATATATTAGTTAATGTCAGATCACGAATTATATACACCTTTTAAACTCTTACTGCATGTCAATTTGCAATATAGAATGAATCCTAAACTTTTATTCTGCCCCAGTGTTAGTAAATGCAATGTTGTACTATAATGATGTAGAATATTCCTGTAAAGACTTTTAAATGTGACCTGTTTCTGACAGTCAGGGTGAAACACCAGTCAGTGGGCATCTTCCCTGTAAAGTGGGTGCTGTTGGTCTTTCCAGCCTAGTTGATTCTATGGTTCTATGTCTGCTGTCTGAAAACAGTTTCTCTAAAGCACTGGCAGCTCAAAGTGCAACTGAAGCCCACATCAATGTTTCTTTTGAACGTCTTGGTTGCGGTATTTTATGCTGTAGTAACTCACAGACGTATTTTTGCTGATGCTGCCTTTTTATGGCTTATCTATACCTCTATGGCAATTTGGTTGAAATCATGGCTCCACTGAAGCTGGTGACGGTCTTGACTAGGATGTCATTGTAAGATTTTACCTAGTTGTGGTTTTCATGTAGTCTCTTAACTTTGTGGGGTTTTAACAATAGCTCTAACTTTATGGCAGATGTGGATTTTACTTTAGTTCTGCTGGACTAGGATATGTAACTCGTGCATGTGTACATAGCATTAAGATAAATAACCTGCTTTTGGCATTACAAGTGTTGAAGACCAGATTCAGCAAACACTTGTTCACCTGCAACGTGACAAAGCAGCATATGTCAAGTTTGTATGAATTGGGATTTAGGCGTTGCGAGGAAGTGGAAACAACCTGATTTGTCTCTTGGACAGAGTAAGTGTGAAACTTGGGGCTGAAGCACAGGGCGCAAGCTGAGAAGGCATGTGCTGGCTGCACTGCCTTCATCAGAGTTTAAAATCCCCTGAAGTTTTAATCTTTGTTAGGCCATGCGAAAGCCAAATTGAAGCCTTTTAAATGACATTATCTTTTTCTAGCAGCTTCACACAGAATTAAAGAGTAACATTTGTGGGCATAGTTAAGGCAGCATGGTCCCTGTAACGTGGGTGATGCTGCATAGAATCATAGAACAGTTAGGGTTGGAAAGGACCCTAAGATCATCTAGTTCTTTCCTATTGGGAAGGTGATTTTCACTCTAAGATCAGACCGGAATAGTTTCTTTGCTATTCCCAAAGGTTCAAACTATAGCCAGCTGGTTCAGCTATTGGTTGGGTGCGTGGGGCTGTGTGCATGCATGAAGTGTGGCTGCACTGGTACAATACTTCTACCTTTGGGCTCAGACCAGATGAGGATGCATGTTGGCTGCCAAGGAACTGTGTTTCATCTGTGTTGGGGCAGGTTGCATACATCTGCACCAAAAGTTTAAGGTGATGGATGTGAGAGCATTACATCACTGTTACTCAACTATATAACAAAGCTGTCTCCACTAGACCTGATATGCCAGAGGGGCTGGTACCTATCCCTGGTGCTTTAGCCAGCTCTGCTGTGGGTCTGGTCCAGTTCAGTGAGTGGGAGGGATGCATGGATGGGGACAGTAACTTGTTAAGCCTTTTCGTGGAAAGCTTATTGTTTGCCTTAATCCACTCTATTGCAAATGTGAGGTGAAACGTGCAAGTCCTGTTGCTGTGGTTAAAACTGACATAGTTTTCTTGTGACTGGTTATTGCAGATATTAGAAGCTGGTTTTGCTTGATTTGTGTGTCTGAATTGTCCTCACAGATGCGAGGGGCCAACTAAAAGAAGCTTTATATGGGCCATAGTTCGAGTGGTGTCAGTAGGCTAAAGTATATTGCTAAAATTGTGTTTCTTCTATCAAATGGTGACACTGGAGCAAAACCAATTAAAAGAAATATGGAACAGCTGCTTTTTGTATTGGTGATTGCATGGTTCTTGGTAACCTCTACAAGACTGATGGAGGAGGTAGTCCCAGCAAAATGTCTCTCTCCTATGTGGACTAGGGAACACAAATCAGAACTTCTTCCTTTCCTTTTCATCCACCTGGAAGCATTGCACACATTGTAGGGATCATATTGATTTGTTCTGGTAATGTGGAACATCCAAAGCCAGGAGCAAACTGCTGTTTTAACAGCCTGACCTGTCTGTGGGAATGCTTTTCTTACTTTCAGCTGTCTCTGTGCTTAGAAAATGTACAAAGATGTAGATGTTCTCATTTGTGCTCCTTGTGTTTGTTTGTAGATACCAGTATTACCTACAAGTGAAAAAGGATGTTCTTGATGGCCGGTTGCTTTCTTCATTGGAGCAGGGAATTCGACTAGCTGGTTTGGCAGTGCAAGGTAAGATGGCATGACCTGATAGCCCCTTTTCCAACGCTGGCATTTTTGGTTTGTTGTGTATGTTTTATATGTTGAGTGGGCACTAGCTAAGGCCTCGTATTACTCCTACTCACAACAGCTGGGTTTTCTATCGATTTAAGAGTGCATAGGTGGACTGCTGTCCATGAAACACACCCTCAGGGAGGGAATGCTGGACCACATCACAGTGTGCAGCTTTCCTATGTCTAAAAATCCATGTAAGTGAACCTGAACAAAGCTCCAGTTCTTCGAACCCCAACCACGGAGCACTTTGCAGTAATGAATTTGCTTTATGTTCTCTGGTTTGAAATGTAATTACATCAAAGAGCATAGCAGCAGCTTTAATTTTGCCTTTAATTAAAAACTTGTTTTGCTGTATAGTGCTATCTGAAATACGAAAGAACACATGACCATAATGGTTCTGTGAGTTATAAAATAGTAATAAACTACTTCTTACAATGTGATTTTTATTCTGAGCATCCTAAGGACATCAATAAAAGTGGGATCGTAGAATGTATATGGCCAGAGGAAGAAGCCCTGTATTTGGAGAATACTTTTCAGTCTATCTATGACTGACTAAGGTAGAGTTTTAGCGATCATGCTCTGGGTGTATCCTCTAATGGGGGGGAAGGGGGAAGTAAATAGCAAACATGAAGATCAGATTCTTAAAAATTAAAGGCTCAGTGGAGAGTAATGCTGATATGATCTTAGAGTAGTAGAAATTCCATTTTTGTACCCTATTTCTTAGTTAAAAATTGAAGAAAAAATGTTTCTTGTCACATCCTGAAATGTTCTTTTAATAAAGGGAGATCTACATATTAGATTCAATACCAAACCTTGCAGTTTAAGTAAATGATGTTTTCCAGTGTGTAAGTTTGGGATGAGTATGTTTCACTGGCCCTGTGGGTTTTTTGGAGCTTTTTGCTGACTTTGAGAGTGAGTCAGTCTTTGTGGTCAGTTTGAAGTAATCACTGTGATTCTGAAACTTCTACATAATCTCTTATATTTCAGAGCCCGTTGCATCAGAACGCTGCAACTAATCTTGTTTGCTTTATTCCTGACCTTGTATTACTCCCTTTGTCCTTTGCATGTGATGCAACTGAAGATAGGTGAAATACTTCTTTCTTTTAAACTTACAGGCTCTGTTTCATGTCCATTTGGAGCTCCTTCTGTTTATGTTAAAACATAACTCTGAGGTGAAAACAAAATGAAACTGCATTTTTGGCATCCTGCAATACGTGAAATTGTCTCGAAGCTTTGAAAGAATGTTTAGATAATGTGATTTATGGTGGGGGTTTCCAACTTCTATTATATGAGAATCTCGTAGATGGTGTTTGATCCAGTTCAACTAACATAAAATAAGAACCTCCTGGCAAGGTATTCTTTTGATACAAGCTGTTGTGTATTTAACAGATAGATACATGCAGGTTTTGGTTTGGATTTTTTAATGCAGTTTAGCCTTTAGGAAGTGTTTTCAAAACTCCAGTTTCAAGGATATTTAGACAAGAATCCTCAGCCCAACATAGGAGTGTGAGCATGGAGACAAGTACCTCTTCAAGAGATTTAGAAGTAGAAAAGCAAGTAGAAAGATTAGACGGGCACTGTTCCTGTCCTGTTACAGTTACATTGGTTGCAGAAGGGCAAGACCTTCCTTCCTCTGCCCCCCCAAACTATGTTGGTTGTTGGCCATTTTTAATACAGTTGTCAAGAGGACTTTAGCCCCTATGCTGTAAAACTAAGCAGCTTTTGTACAGGTATGTAGAATTGTACCAGAGGCAGGTTAGTTTTTGCCTGGTCAGGATTGGAAAAGCCGGGGAAGCAGAAGTGTGCACCGTTTTTCAAGAGGCTGAGCAATCCCAGCCTTGTTAGATAGTGGTATTAGTGCACAAAGGCTACAGAAAATCCTGCCCTGCTGATGGTTAAGCGTTGCAAATGGTCATAATATTACGGATCAAAAGGGAGAAATTACTTGTTGGCTGTTATTTGATCTCTGGTAATAACACTATTATTTTCAGACCACCATGTTAAAAGCTGAAGTGCAAGCAGAAATCTTTGTTCTAGGTTGTGGCTTCAGAGAGAACTCGCCCACTTGAAATGAAGCATCTGTGCAAAGGTTGAGTGCGGTCTTAACATGTGTGGAAAGTACTAAAATGAGTAATTGTGTTATTTTGTTTTTCCAGCGGATTTTGGAGACTATGATCAGTTTGAATCTCACGACTTCCTCCGGGAATACGTCTTGTTTCCTATGGTGAGTTCCTTATCCCCGTCTTTTGGGGTCTTTGACAAAAGATTTCTCCATGCCTCGCAGAGGGGTTTGTTGATAACAGAGTAAAAGCACCAGCTCTGAACCATTAATAGTGGAAAAAATCTTTGCTGCCCCAAACCTGCAATATACTTGATTGTGTCTGAATGAATATGTGCTATGGAAACTCAGCCCCTTTTTAGTCCCTTTCCAGTTACGCCTCTACTAGGCATAGGTGTCAACAAGCGGACTTCTTGAATCAGAAAAGAATGTGTAGCTGTTAAAAAAGGTCTATATTAACAGTACTACAATACGAGTAACATGGCGTAATGAAAGGGATATGAGGGCTGCTGGTGTAGTAAATGTGTCACAGGACAAATCATACAGCCCTTCCTCGAGAGAATGTGGATTTACATCACCTGACTATTAGACTGAAGTGAAGCATGAATTAGGTCTTCTCAAAATGCTCTCTAAGGACTGTACTGTATATTTGTTTTAAACTTCCATTGGAAACTAGCAAATAACTTGAATCCTGAGGGAGGTGGTTTAGGTCACTAATGATAGTTTGTACTGACAAATGCCAAGCACTTGCAAACCATAACATCGAACCTCTCTGTGATAATGGATTAGAGGAGAATTTAGGGAAAAATAAAAGCCTGCTGAGGTTAAGGCTGACTTTATCCTAGAGGAACAAATCCATCAGCACGACTCCTGAGTGTAAGTTTCATAAAATGGAAAAGATCATGGAATTCTTTGTAACTGGAAGAAAAGTCTGGAGGTGGGGTGGAGTTCCCATGCCCCGAGTGTAGCTGCCTACAAGTGAAGGCATCTGGTTTCCCTCCGCAATTAGTGGAGCGGTAAAGGGAGAATGATTCATCTCGTTGTAATTTGCAGGCTTGAGAAAGGCACTTCCCGAAGCATTTCTTCCCATTTACCAGCACTGTTTGTACAAGAGCTGCAGCAGATAGTCAATTCTTGAGCCTAAAAAGGTGACAGCAACAGTATCATGAGGAGAAAGTGCAATTTTGAGCTGATAGAATTCAGTGCCACCTGGAAAAGAGTCAGCAGGAAGAAGGGAAATTAAGGAATGTATAGAGCGTGGATTATGCCTTGTCTAGCTAGAATGTGGCTTCAGTATTGACCTTTCACAAGAAATGTGTTAGCCTGACTGGTGGAGCAGGATTCCTTTGGTAGGCATCCTTTATCTATTGATAAGCAACTGATGAACTCATGTGTAGTTGATGACTTAGGAAGTTGTGTTCGATAGCCTAAGTGGGAAGGACGGCTGGGAATGCAGACAGAGAAATGTGTTAAGCTGTCACTTTGTAAATTACTGAACTTCTGCAAAGCTTTTTCAATACATTGATACTGTTTTTCTATTCAGCTGCTGCTGAATTCAACGAGATCAGCAAAGATCTACAGTCTTCAGAAGCCTGCTCTTAAGCCAACTCTTTCTCTAGACGTTTCTCTAACTGCCTTGTCTTTGCTCTTCCTGGGAGGAGTGGGTAACGTAATAGTAAATATTTCACTGCAAGTTCAGTGACTGTTGCTAAGTGCTGCAGATATAAACTAGTCCTGAAGCAAGTGGGAGGATTTGGGTGAATCTCGGGCGCAGAAAGAGCCTCCAACGAGAGCGCTGCTATAAATTCATTAGTGAAGCGAGCTGGTAGGTGAGGGGAGGGGCAGCTACATTTGTACTGTTTGATCTTGCGAGGCTCCAATGTGTGTCAAATGGCATTTCTTGAGCAGGGAAAAGAGCAAAGTTATGTACACAGTACACCCCACAGGTGTGTGGCTGTGCAGAGGCATGTACCATTGCCATTTTTCATTAGCATGCTACCCCTTTCACATTTTTGTGTGGCAGAAGCAAATAGCAGAGAGGAGGGCCCCAATGGGCAAGAGGCAGGCAGTGGATTTCAGTACCGTATGTGCAGCCTTAAGGCTTTTAAATGCAAAAAGAAGAACTTTGAGGTTTTGCAAGAAAGCTGCTCGGCTTCCTTTGGGTTTTTTCTTGGCCTTGAATTTATGAGCACGTTTCCTTTCTTAACCTGCTCTCAGTTATGTCTGAATTGTTGCTACTACATAGAATTAAATTCGCAGGAGAGAAAAAAGTCTGCTCAGAAGCGCATTGCAAACATAAAGTAGATTTTGTTACAGATTGAAGAGGTAGCAAAACTCAGTGGGGATTTCATGGAGATTAAGGAGTACCTGCAGGACTGCAATACCCATGACTTCATTTTCCATGGTCTGTGTGTTAATTTTGGCCTGGCTTAAAAGGTAGATACTAATTTGTAGACTTCCAAGTGGTTTTAAAGACTTGTTTGGTCCTTATCCAGGGAAAAATTCCTTGTCTGTGCTCTCTATTTTGGAATAATAAATATCTTAACCTTATTTTCAACAGTATCTTTTTATCCTCCCCCTAAAAGACATAAAAGAAATCAGACTCTTGTGTTCTCCTTGCATGGTTTCAGCATCCCTGCTCTGAATTTTCAATACAGCTGGAGATAGGGTCTCTGTCTCTGAAAGACCTGGAAGAGCATGAACAGGAAACGATCTTGAAACATCTGTCATAGTTCCTGATTTGCATTTTGTCGTCCTTCTCTTTGGATGACTTTTTGATGCTGCTTCATATCCTTACAGGATTGGACCCAGGATGAAGCTGTCTTGGAGGAGTTGACTCAAAAGGTTGCTCAGGAGCACCGAACTCACAGGTAAGTTTGACGTGTTAAGGTTTGGATTATTCATTGTCATCATTCTCCTGGTACTTCCCTTCTTCCCTGTGTTTTTCTGGCAGGACCAAACTAGCCTGTCTTCGTGTTACTATTATGCTGTGTCTCCTTGGGGTTTCTAATTAGTCTATTGCAAAAGATTATCAGCCTCTTGTGAACACAACATGGCTAAGGAACTTAATCCCAAATAAACAAGCACCTGCACCATAAGGTTTAATAACACTACTTGCACTAGGGAGTAGACTCCTTTCTCTTCTTGGTTTTGTGTAAATCCTCCTAGTGAAAGACCCTATGACTTAAATCAGGGGGAAACTGAAGGTCTGGCAGGGTTTTCTCTCATTCCAGAGAGAGGGGGGAAACATGCTCTCAGTGGAATGGAAAAGAAAATAACAGCAGTTGGGTTTTAAGTCTCATTGTGGAAAAGATACAATATGGTGTTAATAATTAGTTGAGAATTAGGCTAGGAGGGGATGGATGTATTAGTGCTGCAGCACAAACACCTTTGTAAGCAGGCTTCTTTTGTGTCATCTAAATGTTTTGGTGGTGGAAGGATTTGAGCCTCTAGAATGCTGTTCTTAATCAAATGCAGTGCCTGTACTTCACTGGAAATAGGCTCTTGTGTTAGCTTATGCATTTACATGTCAAGCTTTATTACATGAAACGCAATGGGAATATTATGTGGAGGGTGCAGCACTCCCTATTGTATGACAGAAAAAGGTTGTAATGAGGAAAATAAGAGTCTCTGAGTATAAGTTCTCAGTCTTAGTTTCAATGCAAGCTTGGACCTTTGATGAAACCAAGGAGTTAGCTTCCAAGCTGGCCAGGAGCAAGCCTGGTTCTGTTCTGCTCTTTCTGCCATGGGCTGTGTGTGTGATCTTGGGTAACTCCCAGACTTGAAAGGAAAGATTTCTCTCCCCTGCTGTGCTCTTTAGTGCTATTTCCCTAACACAAAGGACACATACTTATCCTCACTTCAGCAGGTAGATCACATTCCACCTCCTTTCTGTCCCCTCTTTCTCCCAAGTATTTCTCTGGTTCCTATATTTCTGTTCCTAAGCTATGGTGAGGAGCAATGAGGAGGTACGCTAATAGTGGCTTTCTTTTGGAGCAACTTGCAGTCTATTCTGACCTGCTTTTGAGAACTGAAATCTGTCTGAATTCCTGAGCTGTGACAGGAGCATGTGTAGACACGTGTGTAGAAGCTTTCGCCCACTTTGTTCTCCTATTGCGAAAGAGATTCTGCTCAATATTTGGATTTAGTGCCTGTGTTTTGGACTTGAAAATGTAGGTCTTCCCTTTTAAGTCATTTTAAGAAACTTCAATGGGTATATGTACTATGTATGCAAATTAGGACCCATATGGCTCAAACTGGCTGTCCAAAACTAGACATAACCTGATGCAATGGCCCGGTGTTTTAATAAAGCATGGAAAATATTTGATGTGTGCTGAAGAAACTGAGTAACATGATCAGTTCAGTTTGTTTCTCCTGTAATTTGAACTGTGCTTTGTACCTTATCTGAGCAACACTGAGTACAAGTCCTCTTCTTTCTGATCCGAATGTGAAAAGCCGGTTTTGTGTGGTGCTTTTCTAGGCACCATCTCCAAAGTGGGTTTGTGAACCTCCCATTCTTTCTCTAGTGTTTTTTGTGTGCATGTAACATTGAACCGTTTGTTGCCTTTTGTTACTCTAATTGCAGTGGCATTACAGCAGCAGAGGCTGAGCTTATGTACATCAGTGAAGTGGAACGCCTTGATGGGTTTGGACAGGAAATTTTCCCTGTGAAGGTATGTTAGTGGATATTATAAAGGAACCTCTGAATCAAACGATGCAGAAGTCCGCAGCTTCCTTTGGAATACATGCAAGTTGTGTTTATCCAAAAGAGCCAGGACTTGCTTGACTGTCCTGGAAGGTGAAATGACTGCTGGTGGTTTGAATGGACATTGCAGCATGAGGGTACCTTAGGCCTGTTAGTGTTACTTCTCTTCACCAAGATCCTTTTCACAGAAGAGGTTGCTGTGTGCTGGGGCTGGTCACTTGGGAAGCAGAGATGCTCCTTGTTTCTCTGAGTGCTGTCTGAGGAGGTGAATCTCAGCTCTGGTTGTCTTTAACAGGCTGGGAAGATGAGAACATCTCTTGTCTTTCTAAGTTGCTGTTTACCAAGCATTAACTTCCCCTTTTCCTAGTTTCTTACATGTGCACACAGGTCTTCCACGCATTTAAAAGTGGGGAGGGGGGGATTGTTTTGCGTTTGCCGCTTTTGCTTCCCTGGAAGCGCCTGTCTGCCATGGATGGGCTGCCTGGCCTCATGGAGCACGTGCCACCAAGTTGTGCTGAGAAACTGAAAGCTGTTGGTACAAACATGACCCATGTCTCTTTGCACACCAACCCAGCCAGCAGAAGTGGTGGGCTGCAGGCAGTTCTCCTGCCAGTTAAAGATGACTTGGAATTTAAAAGTAAACCAAAATGCCACACCAAACAACAACCCTGTTCTGCTGAAGTCAGAATTGATCCTTTCTCCATCTCAGAGTTGGCCTGAAGGGGAGGAGCTCAATGGCAAAAAAGCCTTTTTACCCAACAATGAAAATTATGGAATGTTTATTGCCAATGAATGAAATCCATGTTTTCCTCAAATTAATTCAGATTAATGCTATATGATGCCAAAGTTTCTGTGTGGAATTGTCATCAGATATTATTGCATGTCAGTAAGATAAGTAAGAGAGAATTTCTCTTACCTCTCTTATTCTAAAGTTTCTTCAGAGAATTTCTGTGTTAGAATTGTCATTAGATATTACTGCATGTCAGTAATGTAGTAAGAGACTGGGTACTCTGATAGAAGGGTAACACCTTCCTGCGGTTTTGCAAAGAGCAGCATGCTGGCCTTGTAGGCAGCTATAACAGTGTATAAAGGGAAAAATGAATGATTCCTCTTTTGTTCCTGTGAGAAACTGCTGCTAGAAACATGTTTTTCTTTCTATATAAATATTTGTATGCCCATAGAATCACAGAATCAACCAAGTTGGAAAAGACCTTTAAGGTCATCAAATCCAACCGTTCCCCAGCACTGCCAAGGCCACCACTAAACTGTGTAATATAAGGCCCTCGGCTACATGGTGAGTGAACACCTGCAGGGACGGTGACTCCAGCCCTGCCCTGGGCAGCCTGTTCCAATGCCTGAGCACCCTTTGGGAAGGAATTGGTCCTCAGTTCCATCTAAACCTGCCCTGGGGCAGCTTGAGGCCGTTTCCTCTTGTCCTATCATTTGTTATCTGAGAGAAGAGACGTGCATGGGTGTGTATTTATACGTGTACAAATACATACATTTTCCCACTCTCTTTGCCTTCTAAAGCTGCCTCTGGAACAAGGTAGAGGAACATGCAGTCCTTTAATCAGACTAAACTGAAGACTGTCAGCCATAGGACCTCTAGGACTTGTAGTGCGTGTGTAAGAATGCTGGTGTGTGCAGCACTGGGAATCAGTGCATAGGCAAGGGCTAGAAAACTGGCACCCATCATTTGTTTGCAAAGGCCTAACACTTAGATACAGGTGCAGATACTCTGCTGTTGCCTTGTGGGGATCAAGTACAGCAAGACCAGGAGAACAGATCTAATCTATCAGTTAAAATGCAGGAGCACCCAATGGTTTCTAGAATTTGCTCAAGTATAGTGCATTAACTTCTCTCATGACCTTTTTTCTACCCGTTCTTTTTAACCACACCATGTTAGCATGATTTTTATGTCCCACTTTAACATGTGAACCAATTACTATATATGCAGCTGGGGGGGGCGGTGGCTGGTGGTGGTTCTGTTGATCAATGTAGAAAAATCTTTGTCAACAGCATTAAGCTTTTGGTGCTATAAAGAAATAGCATGGTTTTAAGGAAACAGCTGATGGCAAAATGGAACAGGAGAGCACTGATTTCAAACAGGTGCCCACAAGGAGACATGGGTGGCACAAAACCAACAGAACCTCTCAAAAACAATATAAGAGCAGTTGACCTTGTGGTACATACAGGTGAATATTTAACCCAATAATGGGGGGGGGGGGAGGAGGAGGTATCTGTATAGAGATACAAGTGCTTTTAGGGTGACATGCTGTGAACAAGGAGTACTTAAAGGAGGAAGCATGAAAGGGTATCACTTTTGAGAGGAATTCCCTCTCCAGGTGTGGTTTTCTGAAATCTCTGCATGTTTTAACAGATGACTGGAGAAACACTGTGAATGTGAAAGAGGACTTAGTGCTTTTCGTGGTCATACAGCCTCTAGACAGCTGTCATCACAATGCTAGGGAATGTGGGGTTTTATACAATCAGTGCCAGTTTGTGGTGTGTGTGGTGGTTGATAGAGGAGAACCTTGGGCTTGTTTAGCCTTTGTCCTCACTAATCAAAAGTGAATCCAGTGAAGTGCCCATTGCTTTCAAAGAACAAAAAATCACAGTCTGATCAGGCAGCAATATACAGGTTAGTGAAGGCTTAGTCCTGCAGCTGTCCTGAAGAAGGGTTTCGGTTTGGTAGCATGCATTTGCCAGTTTCTTTATGAAGCTAAATATATTATCCTTTCTTTGCAGGATAATCATGGAAATGACATACACCTGGGTATTTTCTTCATGGGAATCTTCATAAAAAACAGAATTGGAAGGACAACTGTGATCTACAGGTAAAAACTAGGGTCTTCTATAAGTAAAGTGAGTTTCTTTTCAGAGCTCCATGCGTGGGTTTTTTCCCTTGCATGTGTGACTTCAATAATGCCAATGCTCTAACTGAGGAGCAGTCACCTCGCTGTTTTCAGGATTGGCCTCTTGGCTGTAAGAGATGTGATAAAATATAATTGCTGATGTCTGTGAATGGGTTTGACAGCAAGAAAGATGTAGTTTTCTGTCACGTGTCTTGTTCTACTTACAAGGCTTTGATCCCTTTTATTTTCTTCCCTTTATGTCTGCTTCTGAATGCAAATCTGTTAAACCTTACGGCATCCTGGGCATTCAACCTGTCTGCAGATCTGGTTGTCTCATGTAGGTGCCCCACTACAAACCCCTGGATTTCCTCATCGTGCATGTTTAAAACTCCTGGCTGTGTCACTTGTTTATTTGTTCTGCTGGTTTGGTTATGAAGAATCATTTCAGTCTTTCCATTCACTCCCTTTTGTGGGTTTTGTTGCTTCTAATAAATGTTTGTTGTGTATAAAAGTGTTGCTAGAAGTGTCTATGGTTCCAGGGAGGCAGGGGTTTCATTCATTCTACTTTGCTGCTGTTCTGGTGGGTATTTCCATTACTGGTGGTGTTAACTTGAAGTGGATTTCTGCTGCTGCCTGTTATTAGACTATGAACATTGTGTAGCCAAAAATATGTGGGTTATGAGGTGTGCTAAATTTTAGTGAGTAGCAAGGCTTGTGTCAGACTTCAGCTGGAGTGGGTTGTGCCTTCAAAGGGCTTTCATCCGAAACGTTAGGGCTCCCTTTTCCGCAGGCTTTTCTTCTTTTTAAGAAGAAAATAAATGATCCTTGAGCTGTGCCAGGTGACAAACCCAAGAAGTTTCTTTACGTGTAGAAATGATAGCTGTAGCATAATAGTAAGGCAGGGAGCCTTACTCTCTGGAAACATGCACTTCGAGCATCCTGCCATGACATGAAGAGGAATGCATGCTGCAAACAGAACAAACAAGTCCTTTCCATCCCCATGGATTGCATGCAATGTAGGTGAATGTCTGTCAGCTCTTTGTAAGAAGATTATAACTCTGATCTTGGGTAACCTGACAATTACTTGGAGAAGAGAAAAAAGAAAGAACCAACAAAGATTGCACACATAAAAACCAGAGTATTAACATGGTATGCATAGCCTACGTAACCGTGTTGTCAGCTTAACCTTCTTCAGGAAGAACTGGCGCTGAAGCAAGTTAGAAACAGCATTTGGAGAGGAATGGTACCATTAAATAGTCATTTCCATTACACATGGCTAAAATCAATCAGCTCAAACATGCCACAGTTCAGTAAAATGCTTAGCATTCATGTGTTTTCAATGTATCTGTTACTGTGAGTCTTCAAATTGGTGTTTCTAAAGAGGGTTTTGGGCTCTCCTGGTTTGGGTTAAAAGGTGAATATCTATTTCTCCTTTTATCAGAGCATGACTTCCTTATTTTCCTGGCCATGTTTCTTCACCAAACAGCTGCTGAAAAGCTTTCCCATCAAATGAAGCTCATGTTGACTAAGGGATTCTTAATGTGTTTGTGAAACATTTGAATGTATGTGTTGGCAAACTCTACTGCGTTTTTTTACTCTACAGGTGGAATGACATTGGGAATATAGCACATAACAAGTCTTCCATTGTTCTAGAGTTGATCAACAAAGAAGAGAATGTGCTCTTTCACACAGTAAGGAAAAGATCTAATCGGTGTAATCAGAAAGCTACTTGAATAAAAAAGAAACCTTTAAAATTACCCTTTGCCAAAGGGGCTCACTCACCTTAACCCCTCTCTGCCCAAGCTCACAGTTTATGCAGACAGTGAAATGGACTTCATTGAGCTCCCAGTATTTGTATTCTCTTCCAAGAATCCTGAAGAATACTGTGCTGGGGAGTCTGCAAGAAACTGAAGTGTTTGTTGGATGAAACATCCACAGTGCCACGCTTTCATGCTGGCATAAATATAGCAGCATGAGCGCTGGTTGAAACTGGGCATAAGGTGCCATGCATGCACATACTGGAACTCAGAGGGCAGTGCTGTTCAGTGCTATTTAAAATCACATCTCCCTGAGCCAAGGCCAGGATAGAAACTGGACCAGCAGGCTTGAGCCATTTCTTCTTGTTGTCCCTCCTCCCCTCCCGCTGTGACTTAGCATTGAAGTGGCAGCATGTAAAGGCATGCGACTGTATTTCAGTAATTCAATGCCTTGAATGCTCTTGAGGGCACTAGACATGTTCTTGGCAGCCAGATTCTGTACCTGATGGACCTTACCAAGCCTTATTGCAATTGGATGTGTAAACCTCCTTTTTGTTACTTCTTGGTAAGAATAACAAAATGAATGATTACGTTTTCTTTCTCCCATTTTTCTCTTGTGTTTAAAGGATGATCTTGAAAATGCCAAATATATTTCACGGCTGTTTGCAGCAAGACACAAGTTTTATAAACAGAACAAAATCTGCACAGAGTGAGTACTCTTTTCTTCAGAGCTGTTTGCTGATATCCTGCTTTGAAACCAAGCTGAGTTTTGGCATATCTGGGGTTTTTTCTAGTCACTTGTGTCAGTTATTTCTTTCCCCTTTCCCTTTTTTTTTCTTGCTTCGTTTTAACCACCAGCAAGAGCAGACAATTGGGAACGAAGTTTCATTCTGAGCCTTGCAAGGCGTGATGCTCCCCAAGCAGCCAGAGCTGACAGGGGGTCTTGGATTAAAGGCCTTGATCTCTGCCATTAGTAACCCAGAGTATTAGGATAAACTGGAGTGAAAGGCAACATAAGTTAGAGTGTGAATTACAGTAGCAGATGCACTACCCATCTAGCAGCAAAGGGTGGTGGAAAACACAGGTTGTCATCTTCTAATTTGGGCAGTATAATTTATCTGCTGCTTATATGTGCCAAACAGACACGTGGGAACATTAATCCATGTAGCCATACGAGCACAAAGATGCAGAGACTGTAAATCTGAACCCGAAGTCTCCTTTAGGCTCTACTTTGGGCACTTACTAAAGAATTTGGCCTTGAGCTAGTCCTCTCATACAGGTGGATTCACTCTAACTGAAGGAGGAATTGATGAGGCTTTACTTACAGGTTAGAAGCCTGGAAGCTGAGGATGCTTCCTTTATACTAGCATGCAGCAATTGTAATTTGGGATAAATTTAGCTGATAGAGGTTCAGAGTTTTGAGGAATTTTCATAGTGCACGGGGTTTGTATAGCAATGAGAATGTGAATTCCTTGCAGAACCTTCCCAGTTCAGTTAGCTGGAAAGATATGAAGAAGCCTCATCTCTATCAACAGCTCTAGTTAAGAGCTGGACATCCCATCTGTTCAACTGGGTGATGCCATCTGTTGGAAAATAAAGCCAAAATGATGAAGGGAAGATCTGAAAGTAAAACATTCTAACGTTACATAGGCACGCATTGTGTTAACATACAGTGAGTCAGAGTAATGTAGAGACCAGTGAGCTGATCTTTTCGCTTACAGATGTTGATTTGATTTCAGGTGGTGCTTACAGTTCTTGGGAGGGGAGTGGGAGACCAGAAAAGACATTTCTTAGCAACATATCAGGCATTTCAGGTTTTAGAGCTCCTGATTGTCTCCCCTTGTGACAGTCAAGAAAGAACACAGAATCCCATAGTTTGTCATCTTGGAATATTTCCCCTTTGAAGCTGCACACTGGGGTCAACAGGAGAGGATGGTTCTGTCACCGTTCATAATCCAGACTGAAGAAGCAATAGGTTTTGGTCGTGTTTATTACTAAACACTGAGCCATAAGTACGTGGGTGCCATGAGCGGGGTGTGTGTAGCAGTTTCATATCCGACTTACAATCAGTTGGACTCGTAAAGATAGGGAACCCTATGAGGGCACTGAGTGAAATAACTGGAGTGTAAATGTATTTTTGCCATTAGAATTGCTCTCCTTACCACAGTCTCATATGGTACCAGCTTCTGTGTTAGAGCCACAGACACTGATGGCAGCATATGCCAATGTGTGTTTTCTAGCCATGTAATTTTCCTGCTCTCTGTGTGTAAATGATAGTTGTTTGTTTTCCTGTGTGCATTTCCTCTAATAGCACATAACATCATTCACTAGATCAGAAACTGTAAGAGGACAAATCCCACCTTTCCTCTCTTCACGTAAGCACTATATTTCTGCCTCCTTCACCTTGTTTCTTTCCCTTCCTCATTTTGTATTTCCTCCTACACCCCTTGATGCTTCCACTACACCTGGCTACTCTAACATTGTATATGCTTCTGCTAGTTTTACCTAACCAATTGCTTTTTCCCCTTCCTGATCTGTGGGCATTGCTTTGAAGTGATTGCTATGACTTTCATCCGATAGTTGTTGCTTTAATGTTCACCTTAAGTCACCTGAGACTGTGCCTGTGTTCACTTTTTGTTGTTTAAGAGACTCGTTTGATTAATTTTTAAGCCAGTTTTTCTTGTGTTTCCAAGTTAGCCAAATAGGATAATGAACAGAAGGCATGTGTATTTTGGAACTGGAATACTTCCTGTATTTAGAGAAGAACTGGAATTCTTTTCATTTCTTCATTATTTTCAATCTCATTAATGAGCAGTACATAAAAATTCTTCATCCCTTGTTTCTCCCATTCATTCTTGGATCTCAATTGAAATATGGTAGTTTCTAGTATCTCTCTTTCCTTTCTCTCCCACAGACAATCAAGTTCTCCTCCCCCTATCCGACGACGGCCCACTTGGAGTAGATCATCCTTGGTATGTGCCACGGTGGGGGCTCTGTGAATACCTGTACCATTTCTAATGGGATGGGGCATTGTGTAAGATGGAATACCTTCCAGATTTCAAATAAGCACATGATACCATTATTCTTGGTGGCAATGTGATTGGAATGAGTTGCAAAGGTGTGGCTGCTCAGGTTGATTAATTTAACTGGATAATACCAGCCCTGAGTATTAAAAACTACAGTCTTCAAGGCATTATATTTTTAGTTGCCCTGCAGAAGCTGAACATCGTTTCTACTGGATTGAGGTGACCTCAATAGGTAGAGAAAATAGTTACCTAAAAAGAATTGGAAGTGTCTTGTGCTGTATCCATCAAACCTAGTCATGAGATAATTTTACAGCTCCTCATTTCATGTTTTCTCCATTCCTCATGTTTTTGTATGAAGTCTGCTTACAATTTACTAACCTCTTGGGTTAAAAACCTATTTTCTGTGTGAAGTTATTGTGCTTTAAAGTGAAACTATTATAATCAGTACAGGAGTGTGATTTAGGATTTTTCTTAAGCTATATTTGTTTCTGTTTAACGGGTCTCCATAGATACCATCAAAATGGTTTAAGTTGGAAAGGACCTTAAGATCATCCAGTTCCAAGCCCTGCCATGGGCAGGGACACCTTACACTAAGATCATGTTGCCCAAGGCTCTGTCCAGCCAGGCCTTGAACACTGCCAGGGATCGAGCATTTACCACTTCTCTGGGCAACCCTGTGCCAGCCCCTCACCACCTTCACAGTAATGAACTTCTGCCTTAGATGTAACCTGAACTTGCCCTGTTTCAGTGTGAACCCATCACCCCTTGTCCTGTCGCTGCAGTCCCTGATGAAGAGTCCCTCTCCAGCATCCTTGTAGCCCCCTTCAGACACTGGAAGCTGCTCTGAGGTCTTCACACAGCTTCTCTTCTCCAGGCTGAACAGCCCCAACTTTCTCAGCCTGTCTTTGTATGGATGATGCTATAAATCTGACAAAGCTGGGTAACTCGTTCCTGAAGTCTTCACCAAAAAAGTCTGTGAGAGTATTCCCCCGCCCCTCCCCAGTCAGTTCTAAGGACACTGGTTTGCATCCAGTCTTAACATCTAGTGTATGTCAGCAATTCAGAGTCCATTAAATAAGATTTTAATAAAACAGATTCAAATAAGAAAGATTTCAATGAACAGCACTGCTGATTCCGTAGAGGGCAATATTATCTATATGCAGGTTGGAAGTGTCCGTGTGTGATATAGATTATACCTGCTTTATAGACCTTCCCAGTGGTAATCCCATTAGCCTATTGCTGTATGGTAGAAAGCTAGTGTGGGCAGGAATGTTTCCTTGGCGTGCCCCCACAGTGTGGCTACAGCTTGTTGAAGACGTTCCCAAATTAAGCTTAAGCAGGTACCAACACTAGGATAACTTTATCTTTGCAGATTGCAGCACAGGCTGTTTTCCTGTGTGTTTTTATATGGCCCGTTATAGCTAAAAGCTGCATGCTGTGTTTCCCAGCCATTGGGCAGGAAAGCTGTTGTAGCTGGCTCCAGATTTCTTTGTGCTTTCGTTCTTAGCATGTCTCTAAGGTGTCACGAATGCAATACACAGCCTGTGTGTCATGTTCTCTGAGGCATATTTACAGTGGGTTTTGTATCTGCTAGTTTGGCCCCTAGAGATGCCTCTGCAAGACTGAAGATGACGAAACCAAATGTTCTTTGCATGCTCATGCTATGGCCTCAGGGGTATGATAAGGGGAAGGAGAGAGCTGCCCTCTGTATTAGATATGGAAAGTAGACATCTCCTTTTTCAAGAAGAAGCAAATCCTGCAGCCTCTTTATGGTTTGAACATAAGCATGCAGCAAGGTTTGGGTTTAAAACCCAGCCTCAGGAAGACCAAGAGGAGGAACGCTCATCAGTGAAAAACGAACTGTGCTGCTAACCCTTCACATTGAACTTTCAACTGCTTCTTTCCATAATTGTTTTGTTAACTTGTTGGAACAGTTCTCTCTGGGGAGAAGGAAAGGGGAAAAAAAAGGCCTCCTGACTGTTGTCTGCACTGTACATACCTTTATATACCTGCCTATTCATTTGTCTTGCATGGTAATAAATCAGTAGCCATAAACGGGAAGTGAAGTGGAATCTTAAGGGTGAGGCTCTGCCACTTCACTGAGGATCATGTTCATTACTTTCAGGTTAAAACCCTTTATATGGTTTTGGCATCATGGTGAACCTGTATTTTATCTGTTACTTTAAACCCATTTTATGCTGTTTCTTTTGCCTGTCAGGCCACCCAGTGTTGCTGAATTTCCAGCCAAACCTCCTCAGTGTAGGAGATCTGAATATAATAAAAACCCCAAGTGATCTTTAATTTGGGTATTGATGTTCTGCAGACCTCAAGCTTCTCCTGTTCCGAGGCAGATGGGCCTCCAGAATAGAAAAGGGGAGGGGGGAGGAATAATCCTTAATTTCTTGCAGTTATCTTCCATAACATCTATCACAAAGAAAACTGTCTGCTCCAGAGCTATACATTCCCAGTAGGAGTCACTTCTTCCTTGCATTTTTCCTCTGCTCCCCATTTGTTAGACTTCCCAGCATCTTGGTTTAACCCAAGTAGCAGAGCTTAGCCTGGAATATCAGCAGCAGGCTCCTTGGCCCAGTTTGTTCAGTGAGAGTAGGGTTTCTCCCCTCGGAAGTCATTGCTGTAGCAGAAATAGTTTCTGTCATCTTCCAGCTCTGGCTTAACACAACCGTTTTGTATGCACGAATTCATGGGTGCTCACATTCTTTGATTCTCATTCCCTCTCCCCATTTACATAGAAAATGTGACTTTAACCCTTCCCCACCCCCTCTTGAACAGCTAACTTGTGTGGTGCTCATTTTGTGCATGTGCATGCAGAGGTGGTAAATTATTTGGTGTTTCTTTTTTGCCTCGGGCATCCACAGTATTCCTTAATAGTCTGAACTACTTGAATCAGCCCTGATGAAGAGCCTTTATTCTGCTGCTCAGAATTTATTCATGCATTCACAAAGCAACAGTGTCTTCCTTCTCTTTCTGCTTACTCTGTGTATCAAAGTATACTTTCCTAAACTCTGCTCAGTGGCACCGGGCAGGACATTACAGTGCAGGTAGTAAAATGTGACTACAAAACACGTTGGTTTACCAGTGGGCAAAGCTGGTTGCTGCAAAGGGTCCTACTGCTTTAATGCTGAATTGGCCCCTATGATACTTGTAGTGTTAAAAAGCTTCTTGCAGTGCAGATTGTTGGAGGAAGGCTCCAATTCATCATCTAGGGACCCCAGTATTCATGTTACTTTATATGTACTCCTGTTGCTTGTATAACAGTGTTCTAGGTCCTTGAATTTGTTCCATCTCCTCCTTTTGTCCTGATGGGATGTTTGGTTTGGTTTAATTCTTCAAGGGCAAGGGCTTTTTACTAAACTGGTGAAAAGCTGTAAGTGAGCGGAGAGCCTGGGTGTTGTTTTCTGAAGTGGTTGAGCTTAAAGGAGTTTTCACTGGTTTTTGGGCTCTGTAACAGAATTCAGCAAACAGTTTGCAAAACGTTATTCTCTGTTCCGTAAAGAAATGCCAAGCCACGTGTCTTTGGCTGGGTAAGAAAGGGCTGTATTCAGTGGAAAGGGCATAGAACCGTTTCTCTTGTTTCAGCTGCAAAAAAACCCTGTAGCAAACTAAGTTGCTAATGCTTTTTATTTTACCTTGTGCTTTTATTTCAGCCAAGACAACATCCATTTATACTGCCTCCTATGCATGTCCAGTGTGGAGAACACTACACTGAAACACATAATTCACAAGGTACTTAGAGCATATATTTTGCCTTTAATGGACTTCAGTGTTATGTGCATGCAAAGAGGCTCCTAACCTTTATGTCTAGGTTTCTAATGCTGTCCTGGTCAAATGGGAGCTGCTGCTGGAAAAGAGAGAGTAGTTTTATGGTTAATGTTGCAGTAAATCTTCTGTTTAAAGTCCAATTTCGGTTTTCAAATTTCTCTAAAATGTCTGTGCATGATTATATGGACCTTAAACTTGGAATTCCAGTTCAGCGAGCTGGAAAGGTAATCTCGAAAGGAAGTAGGATGGCTGCACTCAAAGGCATTGCCAGCTGGGGCCAGGGAGAGAAACAGAGTTAGGGAAAAGGAGAAATTGGAGCATCCTGGTCATGAAACTGTGTATTTAGATGGTCTGTTCTGCTGACTTTTCACCAACATCTGCCTACATTGTTAGTCTTGCTGACGTAGGGAGGGTTAACTGTTTTTACCCCCATATTTGACAAATAAATTGTCTAAGAGGTTGTACCAGGTTACTTTGATCAAGGCTGGGATGGGTGCCCAGCCTCTAAACACCTTGAATCTCACACCCTTAACCACACCACCTTTTGGAATACACGTAGCCACGTCTGTTAGGCAGTTCCTGAGAGGCACAGTTGAAGTGCTCTCAGCAGCAGAGGAGATCTTAATCATACCTGAGGGTGGTTTAGAGTTGTGATGGTCTGACTAATTTTAAAGTAGAACTTGATAAGTTTAGTTCCTTGCATACAGTAAAAGGTTTGTCTTAGTGAGTGCTACTGATTTACTGCAAAGATGACGGTCTGAAGAGGGACAGTCTCAGGTTTAGAAGAATTATAAAGTTCTCTTAGTTTTACACAGACATCTCTATGCTGCTGGATTAGCTGATTTCACAGCTTTGGGAGCTGCTACTCCTTTCTCACAAGACTTTCAACAGGGACAGTCTTGCATAAAGCTGTCATCATCTCCTCTCAAATATCCTTTGCTGAAATGTTTAATATTCTCTAGTGCGTCTGTAGAGTGTTTTGGTTGGTTGTGGTTTTCCTCTGAGTCTTGATCACCCTGCAGTGTTCTACTTCAGGTTTGGAGTAGGATTTCCAATTTCAGAGTCTTCTGCTACTTCAAATCACAGACAGCAGTGCACCAACAGAAAAGATAAGAGAACTGTTAGGTTTGCCACGGGCTAGCAGCACTGGGGTTTTTAAGGTGGCAGCAGCAGTGAATCATTACAGGATGCTGAGGGAGGAGATGCCCCCTTATTCTTTCTTGCCACCCCAGGCAAAAACACTTCCTCTCTTTCCCCTTTCATGTCTCCCACAAGGATCTGAACTACCATATTTTGCTAACTGCTGGCAGCATTTACGTGAGTAGCTTTGTTTTAGTTCTGTCTCAGTGACTCAGGGATGCTCCCAAGACCAAATGTTCGTAGCAGTTGTTGTACACCAAGCTGTGTCTGTACTCATTGGTGCAGACTTCATTTGAAGTTTTGTTAACATGGAACGAATCCTTGTATGTTAAAATCATCAATGTCTTTATCTTTGCTCTACACAGATAGCATTTTCCATGGAAATGAAGAAACTTTCTACTGTAGGTCTCAGACCAGTTTGGATAGGTGTCCAATGGACTTCAGCTACTTGAATGGTAATAGACCCAATGGGAGCGTATGCAGTGCCCACAGCATGAACTCTCTCAATCGCTCACAGAACTTCATCCAGGCATCTCCAATGTCCTCCAATCTGAGCATCCCTGGAAGTGACATCATGAGAGCAGACTATATCCCCAGCCACAGACATAGTGCAATCATAGTACCATCTTACCGGCCAACTCCAGACTATGAAACCGTCATGAGGCAAATGAAGAGAGGGGTGATCCAGATGGATAGCCAGAGTCAGTCTTTGAGGAATCTCAATATTGGAAACACACATGCTTATAACCAGCCAGAAGACCTAGTTTACAGTCAGCCTGAGATTCGAGAGAGGCATCCTTACACAGTTACATACGGACCCCAGAGCAGTGGCTATAACAAGCCCGTCGCCCCGTCTGACCAAATGAACCCTAGTAATGCTGCTCAGAATAAGACAGCAGCTAGTGCCATATCCCACACCGTCAGCACACCCGAGCTGGCTAACATGCAGCTGCAGAGCAGCCAGAGCTACAACACCGCTCACATGTTAAAGAACTATCTCTTCAGACCCCCGCCTCCATACCCACGTCCGCGTCCCGCCACGAGCACGCCAGACCTGGCAAGCCACCGGCACAAGTACGTCAGTGGCAGCAGTCCTGACCTGGTCACTCGCAAGGTCCAGCTCTCGGTTAAAACCTTCCAGGAGGACAGCTCGCCCGTCGTCCGTCAGTCACTGCAAGAGGTCAGCGAGCCCCTCCTGGCAGTGAAGCACCACGCGGCTGTGAACAAGCGCCACAGCTTGGAGGTCATCAGCAACATGGTACGTGGTATAGAAGCCATGGCACTGAAAACTCTAAACGCTCCTCTGCCGCGCAGGAACACCCTGCGGGAGCAAGTGCAGCCGGAGGAGTCGGTTCAGATGGGGCACGAAGTTCAGCAAGTTCCTCACTATCATCACAAAAAGACGTTCTCTGATGCCACCATGCTGATACACAGCAGTGAAAGCGAAGAGGAAGAAGAGACCTCAGAATCCGTGTCGCAGATTACAGCCCTCCATAAGAACATGGAGTACAGTGCTCAGCTGCAAGCTGCCCTGGCTAGAATACCAAATAAACCTCCTCCAGAGTATCCTGGGCCTCGGAAAAGTGTCAGCAACGGGGCCCTGAGGCAGGACCCTGTTAGCATTTCTGTGGCTGTAGCCAGGGCCAAGGCCATGAGGCCAGGGCCTTCCAAAGCCATCAGTGTGTCTCGAACTGATCAAATGGCAATAAACGGATCCTCGCTCGGGCCCTCTATCTCAGAGCCTGACCTTACAAGTGTGAAGGAGCGGGTCAAGAAAGAACCTGTCAAGGAAAGACCTGTGTCTGAAATGTTTTCTATTGAGGACAGCATTATAGAAAGAGAAATCATGATGAGGGTAAGTGCCTTCCTCTGTTGCGGTGGCTTCCTGGTAGTCCTACAGGTCGGGATGCGTACCAAAAGCTGCTGGATCAGTAAACTGTGGGGAACACCTGGGTGGGAAGATGCTGATTTGCTCCAAGTAAGGAAATGTGATGTTAAGTGCCAGATCCAGTTTGGGTTTGTGGATCTCTGTGGCCGCCAAAGGGGCTGATCTCATGCCCCAGTTTTGGGCTGTATGCTTCCTCCAATGTGGTTTTTCGCCTGCTGGCCAGGTCCATGCCTTGATCCAGCTGATGGTGCTACCATCACCCTGAGAGCAGCGCCAGCCCAAGGGGGGTGCAGAGCATGCACTGGGTGATGAGGAGGCTGACCACAAAGCCCCCCTTCATACCTGCTCCCCCCTGCCTGTGTGGATTTGAAGGCAGGGTGGGTCTGAAACGTGTTTGCCGAGATGGGGAGGAGGTTGCGTTTCAGCACTAGTGTTTTATTGCTTCTTTGCAGGGCTGTCGAGCTAAGCACCACGTAATCTATAACACAGTGGAAACTCACCTGAGTTTCAGGTGATCTCTGCCTTCCCTGCTACTTTACATAACACAGTTACCTGAATGCAACCCTGGTAGCTGTAGACCATGGATTGCTGGTTTTACCAGTAATGAGTGACTGTAGATCTAATTCCAAAAGTAGCAGATGGAGAGGCTGTGTGGTTGAGGATCTGGATTGTTTATTCATTAAGAAATGTACTCAAGAATGAGAAACAGCACCCTTTTAAACTTGCAGTGACTTCAGCATAAGAAGCATTTAAAGGCTCCAGTGCCACTGCAAGCAATGGCAGAAGCATGACGGGTGCTTACCATTTAGTGACTGAGGGATGCGCTTGACGCACCGCTCTGAGAAGTGCAAGTGCAGTCACAGAAGGTGAAATGTGTGCTGTAGGATTGAGGTCTGAAACAGAAACGATTCCTAAAGCAAATTAATAAAGCATCTAAATGGTCCAGAGCAGAAAAGAGCTTGTAATGTACTAGATCAGCAACTAGTTAGATTGAAATAGTATTGTGTATTCAGAGAAACTCTGAACGTGTGTATCGTGCTCCTTGATTGTTGGTGGTCCTTACGCTGATGTAATGGCTAGGAGTCAAGCTTGGGCCACAGAGTTGTATAATGGAGACTGAATTTACTCCTTGCAGGATTTTATACTTTAAATGTAAAATAGATGCTTGACTGTAAGTAATCAAGTCAACGTCTACTCCACTGTAACAACAAGCGTATATGTGTTCTTTTGATCTTCTGAGGAAAGGAAACATTGAGTAAACAGGAATGCAAAGGATTGGAGGATGGAAATGAAGGCGAGAAGAGAACTTAGAGATGCTGTTTGAGTACTCTTTGCTGTTCGAGTACATTCGGAGCAGCCTTTGGTCAAAAGGTTCTTTGTTGTTGTTGTTGTTGTTTTGGAAGGGGTAGGCTTAGCATTAAAGCTTTTAAAGTGGTTTCAGCTTAGGTCAGCAGTCTTAACACATGCAGACCTTCCTTTTGTCACAGGAATTGCATGTTATATGAATGGTAATTTGATGACCATCGTCTTTTAAACACAGACTTTTCTATTTGACTTTGCCAGGAGTAATAATAATAAAATCCCCAAACAAAGGAAAAATACTCGCATTTTCCTACTTTCTGAAAGCCGGAAAAGAAAGCAGATGGGTTTGGATTTTTGTTTTGCTTTTTTACATTGTGCTGCAGAGGAACCCAGTGGTGAGGAAAAAGCTCACAGGGCTTTTGAACAATCAAGCCATTTACAGATGTCTGAGAGCATTCATGTTCAGTAGCGTGTTCCTAGGAGCTGAGCTTGGCCTGTGTGGTGCCCACACCATAGGCATGCAGAGAACCAGGCTTCCCTTGTGCTCATCTCTCCTTCCAAATCCCGCAGAAAGCATTAAGGAAATGGAATAGAATATTCCACACATGGGCATGATAAACAATATCCCTTCCTGGCTGCTGATACAGTCGGTTTCTGGGATACGTGAGCTCAGGTTTTAGTGCAAAATACATCACGGGTGCTGTTTGAATCACTGTAATAGCTGAGTGCATCAAGAGACTTCTCGTTTTAAGTATTGCTATCACAGAAGGGAAACAATGGCCTGTGTTTTGCTGTTTGTTGTAATAGATTGAAATGATTGCTTTTCCAAAGGTGCCCCAGGTATCTTGGCTACGGCAGGGCTACTTTAACGCAACAGGGTGATGCTTTGTGTGTCCTACATCCAGCATCATGTTTGCAGGGAAAGGCTCAGGGTTGTATTTGTGTGTCTTTTAATGGCACGTAAACCGAATTACATGCTGGGATTGCTGCTTTGAAATTAAAATTCTGTGCTCATGTAGGAGCAGGCCTTTGAGGAATAACAGGAAGAATAGAGGTTGTATTTGAATTTACGATGCTAATGGTGATCATCTGCATTCCTTGGCCAGAGAGTTGCAGATTTTGGAGATTAAAAAAACATTCCAGCATTTTACTGGCATTATAAATAATCACACAGAGATGAAAACGTGCCTTTTCTTGCCAAAAGAATCTAGAAAAGCAGAAGATGGCAGGCCTGGAGGCCCAGAAGAGGCCCTTGATGTTGGCAGCACTGAATGGACTCTCAGTTGCTAGGGTTCCAGTGCCAGAGGACAGCCAGGATGAAGTCACCAAGGTGCCAATGGATGAGAGGGTAAGTTGGAGGCTCATGCAATGTCTTTCATTCCCTGTGTTGCCAGCAGCACAAAGTCCCTAAAATATGAACATTTGATTTAAAATGTCAAAACAAAATGTCTTAAAGGTGTTCAGAAGCATTAATGGAAGAGGTCCGGGGTTAACCCTGATGTGACTTTGGATTCTGTTAAATGTCTGGAACATTTACTGAAGTCGGTGAAAATTGAGACTGTTCACTATTTCATGTGACTATACAAGCTCGAGCTCTAAATCAAACATTTTGCATGTCTTTCTCTTGGTCAGGCAGTTTTTCCTGCAGTGATCATCCATAGATCCCATATTCCGTGTTCTGGTACAACCAAGGAGCTCAGTTAATGTCTCTGAACAGGATTAAATTGTCAAACAAGAGTTGTTTGCCTTCTGATGTGTGTGCATGGATATGGAATTCCAGAAATTAAAACCACTTGCTGCCATTAAGTTTTGAAAGACGTATTTGCAAAGAGGCTTTCTGGATAAAGATCCTTAGCCTTGTGTTGTCTGGTATGCAGACAACAGGCCTTAACCTCTGCCTATCCATATGCAGGGCTGTGCCCAGCCACAGAAGTTGCACGTTTTCAAGTTAGGGAGCATTTTGATAACGTGGACCACATCACAGTTCTTGCAGCACAATCTTCTCTAAACGTGAAATGCTTTTACAGGTATCTATTGTGGTGAAATCACCCGCAAATTCATCCTGAACCAGGGTTGTATTTAGCAGGGCTTTGCTTTTTACGGTATCAGTCTTAAATAATGTGAAGGTAGAACGTCAAAATGTAAAATTAGCTTGTGGTTTTACTCAGTGTAGAAATCAGTGTGTGTCATGTTCCCTCAGATAACTGCAGCTGAAAGAAGTGACTGAGAGGATGCTATGGCTGTATATTGAAATTCAAAGAACAGATGGATGAGTCTAGTAGTAAATGTTCCTTCAGGCGGAATTAATGGATTGATGTTCCTTCCTGTTAAATCTTAGTGCAAAATCCTGAAGAGGAAGTTGGAAGAGGGGATGGTGTTTACAGAATATGAGCAGATTCCAAAGAAAAAGGCAGATGGGATCTTCACCACTGCTGCCTTGCCTGAAAACACTGAGCGCAACCGCATCAGGGAGGTCGTTCCTTATGAGGAGAACAGAGTAGAGCTGGTGCCGACCAAAGAAAACAACACAGGCTACATCAATGCTTCACACATAAAGGTAAAACCTTCCTTGAACTTTGCTTTGCAAATGAAGGTATGTTAAAGCTGCTTTTTGCCTTTCTGTAGCTCTAGAGCTTCTGAAAATGTAACTTAGAACACATTGTTGTACCTTTGTGTCAGCATCTCTGAAGTCTTCTGTCAACTAACATAGAGTCATAGAATGGTTTGGATTGGAAAGGACCTTAAAGCTCATACAGTTCCAACCCCCTGCCATGGGCAGGGACACCTTCCACTAGAGCAGGTTGCTCCAAGCCCCATACAGACTTGCTCTTGAACACTGCCAGGGATGGGGCAGCCACAGGTTCTCTGGGCACCCTGTGCCCGTGGCATGCATGAGTTGATTTAATTGCTAGGGGCTGGGAATTCATTTCAGAGAGGCATTTTTACTTTTTTGATGCCCACCTCTGCCAGCTGGTTGGGGAATATCTCCATTGGTTAATGTAGAAAGAGATGCTGTGTTTCTTAAACCTCATGAATATGGGTTAGAGTGGACCACTGCCTGCAATGTGACGTGGTTGTGATGACCGTGCACCTGAAAGGATGTGCAGTCAGTGTGTGTTCTGATTGATCCGTCCCAATAGCCTTGCAAGCCACTGGGGCACTGCAACAACCACTATGGAATGAGTCACTGTGACTGACTGGTGCAGCCTGCCAGAAATACTGCAAGAGGTTTGGCTGAAGTATTTTTTTCCATCTAGTAGTATATAGGATATGATTTTTAGAACACAGGGGTGGAGCTCCATGTATGCAGTTCCATGCCCAAAGCAAAAGCATGTAGTTAGGAGTAACACATTCACATAGATACTGCAATTACATGTAAGAATAATGTATTTCTTCCTTTAATGATGAGTTTAGTGATTCTAGAAGATTTTTTAAGTATGCATTGATAGAAGGAGCATTGATAAAGAGAACACCTTACACCTTAGTTTATCTCTGGTTGGATACTGCATTGAATTTCTGCTCAAAATAACTTTTTATCAAGAAACTTCAGATTTCTTCTTAATTCAATGTAGAAATAATTTAAGAAATGGTCTGGGACTTACAAACATGGCAGGTTGTACCAGTGAAGTATCCTGCAGTGGCTGTAGCTGCTTGGTTTTCTTTAGGCTTCCAGTACTAATTGCAAAGTTCTTTTTGTTGGCTTTTACTCCTGTCCCTCAGGTGACAGATTCTCTTGTCAGAGAAGGGCTGTCTACTTTTTCTCATTGGCAAAATCCAAATTAAAATAAAATAACTCAAAAATAATAAATAAAACCTCTGTTAAAATAGTATTTTCCTGGAGTAAGAACTTAAAGAGACTTGCTGGCCTCCTTGGTTGTGATTTACAGTGTTAATTCCTGTTCATAGAATCCCAGACTGGTTTGGGTTGGAAAGGACCTTAAGATCATCCAGTTCCAGCCCCCTGCCATGGGCAGGGATGCCTCGCACCAGACTATGTCTGTGCAATCTGGCCTTGAACAGCCTAGATAGATGCTGAGGTTTTGCAGAATCAGACATTGCTGTGATGCATTTCTGAGCCCAAAATTTTTCATCTCCTTTGTAGGATGCCAACAAAAAAAAGAGCTTCCTAACAAAAATGCTCACAAAACAGCAGTAGCCAGAAAAGTATTTTCCTTGGCTGGTTTTGAGTCCACATTTTCCTTGTGTGTTAGCATTGGACACATCTCGCATTCACAGAGCACCCAGGAACATGCACATGACAAGAGTCCTGGCCAGTATTTTCCTCTCCCTGCATGGGGAAGCCAAGCAGATGTGCTTTTGCTTAGAAGGTAAAATTGCATCTGCAAGCTTTACCTTAGTAGCACAGTACGTGTGTGTTTGCAGCCCAAGAGTCAGTTTTTAAAGTCCTGCACTTAGGGCATTAGAATGCAGTAAACATTCCAGACATCCCATTCCCTCCAGACTGTTTATGGTCCTTTCGTATCATGTGCCAGAAGGCTGCATATTTAGACCAGAAGTCAGTAGACAAAGACTCCTATATCATCCTGATAAGATCCATGCCTGGAGGATTCCAGCTCCCACTGCTCAGAAATAGCGTGTAATCCTGCTTATTTGCCACTGAGCTTCGCTGTTAAGGTACGAAGATGGTCTATACCAGAGAGAAAAAGTGTGATTAAATTTATGGATCAAGCAAAAAAGTTCTCAATACCACTTGGTTTGACTGGTCAGGTCAGTATTAACTTGGAGAGCTCAGTGATACTGTCCCAGCAGTACTGCACATGAGCATGCAAGCACAAAAGCAGTTCAGATGCAGGATGCTGGTTAGAGCTGTGCAGCTTCTATTCATTCCCACCTAGGAGAAGAACTTGAGTCTGCCTGCACTGGTCTCGCAGATTTTAACCATCACTCAAAGAGAAGAATGCTGCATAGGAAGGAAGAAATAAATGAGCTGATACACAGAGTTGAAAATGGTTTTCAATACAGAGAAAAATGTGTTATCATACAAAATGCTAGTTACAGGTGTAAAACCCCAAGTGTCTCAGCTTAATGAGCAGCTGTTTAAATAACAGAGAAGTCCATTCTGTTTCTGCAGATGGGTTCAAAGACCTGTACCTCAAACGCAGTATGTGGTTAAACAGAACGCTCCTTGTGGCATTGTCCGCCAGCACCTTTGTATTTGTGGATGTGTCAGTATTCCTGTTGTAAATCATCATCTCTGGGATTTATATATATAAATCCCATATATATATAAAATATTGTATATAATATGTATGTTATATATATTTTCTATATACAATATATATTTATATCTTTGTTGTGAGCAGTGAGTTTGGGCTAATGTGGAGAATTAGGAGCTCTTAGCCTGAGAAGGGAAAATGTTTTACCTTGCCGTCTTTGTTCGGTTTTCCTTGTTGCTGGTAAGCATATTTCCAGCTGAGAGCTGGTAGCTCTCAAATTGGTTTGGCTTTTTACCTAAAATGTTGGGGAAAAAAAAACCTTTTTTAATGAACCTTTCCTGATATATAGCAAATAAGCCCCCATAAAATTGTATTTTTTTAATAAACAAGTCATTTTGCTGGTGGTGTATTTTTAAACTTCATAGTTAGATGAAGATCTGCCTCAGTCAGGTAAATGAAGCAGTGTTCTACACTGGTTAACTCCAAGGGAATGCTCAGGGCACTACCTAATTGACAGTGTGTAAATCTCTATGTTCATGCTTTACAGATAATGTCTTTACTTGTTGTCATGCAAATGTTTCTATAAGATGTGGTTGGTAATCCAGTTACGTGTTGGGAAATAGATTTGTATGACTACAGCTTTGGATCGTGTTAAATTTGGCCAAAGAAATAATAAGCACTCCATCCCTGGCAGTGTTCAAGGCCAGGTTGGACAGAGCCTTGGGTGATATGGTCTAGTGTGGGGTGTCTGTGCCCATGGCAGGGGGGTTGGAACTGGATGAGCTTAAGGTCCTTTCCAACCCAAACCATTCTATGATTCTATGATATGAAAGCCGTTTAAGATGCTGGATTTACTTCATAGTAGTTTGCAGCTTCTGAGCTGAAAAACCCAAGATGAGCAAGGAAGAGTTAACTTGAAATGAAGCCTGTCTTGATCTCATTAATAGCTGGCAAGAGGCCCGTCCGAGCTTTGCGTTATGTACAGTGTGTGGGCATAACTGCATCCCCTAGGGACAGCTTGGCCACATCTTCAGCAGTGCTCAGTGTAATGAGAGTCTGTTTAAGAAGTTATTTTTTGCCTGAGTGGAAAAGACTTGAGGGAGATCCTAAAGAGCAGAGTTCTTTAGCTTTCATTGTGGAAAATGACATTTGCACTGAGGCTCTCTACACCACTGTCGTGTTCGTTTGCAGCAATGCGGTTGCCTTTTTAATGCACAGCGACACTTCTGCTGCTGCTCAGTTTTTCTCTCATCGTGGCTCTGTCACCCAGCCCAAGAGCTCAGTCAGCTGCTTATTTGTCTTTAAGCCATATCAGAAACAGAGCCTCAGCAAAACAGCCCCAACCTTTTTTCATCTGTGTGATCCAGATGCATTGGCATTTCGGTCAACGCTTTATGTTTATGGGCTTCAAGAAAGAACTTGGAAACACCAAAGATTGTGTTTTGTCCGATTTGCTCTTATCAAAGGGTGATTCTTGTTCAGAATTTTGAGGGGAATGGGACAGGCACTGCTGAGAACTTGGGCACTGACTGTATTTTCCGTTCCTTTCCTCCCCAGGTTACTGTAGGTGGAGAGGAATGGCACTACATTGCTACCCAGGGGCCTCTGCCACACACATGCCATGACTTCTGGCAGATGGTGTGGGAACAGGGGGTGAATGTTATAGCCATGGTCACAGCTGAGGAGGTACGTAAAATCACAGAGCATGGCTCTTTCTGATGAGAGCAGATCTCCTGTTATCATCACTTCCCACTCCAGGAACCTCTTCTTTCTATCAACAATCCTTTTTCCGCTTGCTCTGTTTGAACATATGCCTGCTATAATACCAGACATGGTAACTTTCTGATACTGAGTTTGGCAAGTTCTAAAGCGAAACAAGCAGCACTCCCCCTTCTCCCTGCTTCACTCCAGCTTGGCCAAGCCAAACAAAGATGTTTCCACTGAGAGCACTGAACTGCTCCTGGTTAAAATGACACAGACTTCCCCCCTGCCCAAGGTCAGTGCTGCATGCCATCACTCCTATCAGCTGCAGAGAGACCAGGAGCTGTTGTTTCTGTAGAAGTTCATGTTTAAAAACAAAAGAAGAAATCTTTTTTATTCTTATGCCAAGCAAACCAGTTATTTCCATTGTAATCCAAGAACTATGTGCTGCGTTAGAACAACTGGCACATGGTGCTAACTAATGCTGCCTTCAGCTCTGTGCAGGGGTGCTGTTAGCAGACACAGGGAGTGCCATAGCACAAGTCACTGTCCAGTTCCCAAGGCTGATCAGCAACAGGTACTTAGAAGCTGCTGAAGAGAATCTCCTTCCATTTAAAGGAGAAGCTTCTCCAGGAGGAGAGCATCTACCAAGGTGTAAGCAGTAGCTGGCTTTCACCACAAGACAAGAGTTAGCTCTTCATGCGTTTTTACACTTAGAAATATATGGCTGAGAGTTTGATGTTTCAATGCATATTTTCTTTACTTTGTAGGATGTTCCTTGCTCTCCCTGCAATTTGAAATAACAATACTTGCCTTGCCTGCAGAGTTTTATGCCCTCTGTAAAGAATCTTAGTTGCAGGAACTAATGGCTTTTTTCTGTTTGTTTGGGTTTCCTTTTGTTCTTAAGGAGGGAGGAAGAAGTAAGAGTCATCGTTATTGGCCCAAACTGGGCTCTAAGCACAGCTCAGCCACTTACGGGAAGTTCAAGGTGACAACCAAGTTCCGCACGGATTCTGGCTGCTATGCGACTACCGGTCTGAAAGTCAAGCATCTTCTCTCTGGACAAGAGAGGACAGTGTGGCATTTGCAGTACACTGACTGGCCAGACCATGGGTGTCCAGAAGAAGTCCAGGGCTTTTTATGTAAGATTTCTTTAACTTGCACGGTAACATACATCAAAGGTTGCTCACACTGGGTTCAGTTCTCTGCACCTAGTTACAGCTGGGATTGGTATTAAATGGTTATTGCGGAGCATATAAAGGTTGTACTTTGCTGTGATTTGGAGAACAAAGCAGGATTCAAGAGGTAGGAGCTAAGGTGATTGAGGATTTTGGCCCTGAAAGGCCTGACATGAGATGAGAAAAACTCAGGCAGCAGCAGTGCTAAAGACTCAGGAAGTTTTACATAAATACCTCTGTTAGCTGATCTGTTGGTGTAAGTTATCACTTCCTAACTCCCTAATGAGTGTAGGAGATACTAGGCTGCACAGAAATGTGATTAGAGAGGTTCGCTTGTTAGTGAAATATGGCACAACTCCTCCAGTTCCATAGGAGGCTGTTATTGCTGTCAGCCAGCATTTAGTTGTGCAGAGGCATCAGACATGTTGCAAAAGAGCAGAGGGCTCCATCACATATGCAGCAAATCTGACCTCATTGCCACTCTTCCAACTACAGGTACCCGAGCAATGCTAAGAGCCTTCCCAATTAGATATGGTCCTGGTATATGCACTTCTGAGAAGACAGACATTATATTCATCTCTGTTGAGTTAATAATGCTTCCTACTTCTTCCCAAGGAATAAACACTACCCTGTTAAGTAATAGGAGTTCAGTCATTACTTAACTAAAGCCACACCTCTGCCTCTGCAGTAGAGTGGAATGTAGAGACCCTTAAGTTACCACTAAAGGAGTCAGCACACGGTGTACTGATGTGTTGTTGATGCTTGCCCCTCTTAGTTCCTGACAGCTCTGCAACTGCAGGCAGCTTAGTCCTCCCTCAGGAAGGTGCATTAGTTCCACTTCAGTCTTGACACAGCTACACTCCTTCAGTGGTGCACTTCCTTTTACATGGAATAAGCTTGATGTCAATAACATCCTTCTTTTCCCAGTTCTGTCACCAAGGCAGAAAATAAAAATGACATTTCAGTTTTGGCAAAGGAGTGCCACAGGATCTGGCTTTAAGGCAAAGCTATTGTCCAGTTCTTAGTTTTGTTTCACGCTTTATTTCTCCTGCCAACCCCTGTAGCTGTGGTTGGGTGTGACAGTAATTGGAACCTGACTATCCTCATTTCCTCCGTCCCATTGTTTGCCACCATGTACAGTCCCATTTCAGTGCTTGCACTGAAACACAGCCTTTCTGATGTTAGTAGGCCTTAGCTACAGCTGCCTGTGTCAAAAGGACTGCCCAGGCTGCAGTGCCGTGATACCAGGAGTCAGGGCAGGAAAGTTCGGCTTGCACCTCACTTCCCACTCTGGCTGGTGGTGGGAAGTGAGGTGTCTAAGAGTTATGCATCTGGATCTACGTTTCTGGGTGAGGTCCATCATCTTTGTCATGCATCTAGGCTATGCTGGAATGATGCTTAGAGGTCAGGGTAGTTGTGTCACTTGGTTAGATAAACACACCGTAAACAAGATAACTGTTCTTGAGTCATGCACTTTCTAGAAATGGCTTCAGGGGAAGCAGACAATGAACTCCCAGAAGGGCTGGGAACTGTTGAGAAACAAACCCAGAGCAGAGAGGTGGGTGAGATTCTGTCTCACTCTAGAAGGGAGGATGGAGGGTGGGAGAATCGGGGCAGATGGATGCTCTCTTTCCATTGACAGGCAGTAGTTTCAGTGGGACTTAGCTGTTGTTTTGATCCCAGCCTGTTTAATGGCGGGGATTGCTGTAAGTAATGTCTAGAATCATCTGCTTTGGGGACTTGGAGATTTGCGGGGGGGACCAGAATTAAATATTTTAAAAGGACTATTTAATTTAAAGGAGCAGACTCCCAAGTAATCACTAACACCCAGCTGGTATTTGCTGCATCCAGTGCTGCTCACTGCATCCTGGCCAGAATAATCAGGATGTTGTAAAAACCGTCAGTTATTGCCACTTGGGCAGAGAATGACTTCTCCACGTTGTGTTTTCCTCCCCATTTTTACATGTAGACATATAGCTGCCTGCAACCCCGCCTGCATTTTCTCTTTGCAGCTTACCTGGAGGAGATCCAGTCGGTGCGGCGCCACACCAACAGCGTGCTGGACAGCAGCAACCCCTGCAACCCGCCCATCGTGGTGCACTGCAGCGCTGGGGTGGGCAGGACCGGTGTGGTCATCCTCACCGAGCTGATGGTCGGCTGCTTGGAGCACAATGAGGTGAGCCAGCTGCTTTCTGCAACCACGAGCTCCTTCCTTGGCTAGCCAGCTACATTTGTGAGGTTAAAAGGCATTGAAGTGCTTGCTTTCTACTGCCTCTGAGAGACCAGGGCCTTAAATGCAACAGGCAAAGGTTTCCCATGGCAGCTTACTTGTAGTTTTAAGTTGATGTTGTGTGTTTTGTTATTAGTGTTATTTTGATCCATTCAAAATCAGGGCTTTCTTCTCTAAGAATCAAGTCTAATTCCTACCAGTATTTAATGAACAGCCTAGAGATAGCTTATTACAAAGACTACCTGAGAGAGGCTAGAGAGTAACATCAGCTTCCTTGCTCTTTTAACTCGTTTTTTTGCTCTCTAAACCAACTCCTTGGACTCCTTCCTCTCTTGTATTGCCTCTAATCTCATCTGGAATGAAACTTAACTGTGTTTTAAGGAACAAGTGTGTACGTTGGGGAATAGGGTTTTAGGCACTGCAGTCACTATTACAAGGCTAGTAATGCAGTCTGGAGTTAAGAGCACCAGCAGAATAGCCATGTGTAGCAACTTGCTTTACATCAGTGTCGTGTGTCATTGGGGAACTGTCCAGGAAGAGCATCACACCTTGAATGACAACGTGCCCCCATTTTCAGTGTGACAGCTATTGAAACTGGGGATTTCTATTGCCAAAGAAACTGCTCAAAGACCAGAGCCTCTTGTAGAGATAACAATGCAGCAAGAGTAACAGACACATATCGTCTGCCCCTCCCATTAATCATCCATTGGAGGAGTTGCTTGAAATTCAGGGAGGACTGGATACATGCACCTGCAATGCTTGCCTGCTCTCAGTGTTACCACAGAGGAGTTACAGGTTTGAGCCTTCCTGTGCATGGAAAAAGTTATGCAAGACTTTATTTTTTTGCTTTCTACTGTGTTATCCCCTTGCCTCCAGCAGCTCATCCTTCTGTAGTTACAAGATCTTGTAGAGATCCTGTGCTCAGGTCAGCCGTGAACCACCTCCAGCTCTGCTTGGGCCTCACTAGAGATGAAGCTGTCCTAGATCTATGATGCAATTTACACTTGTTTTCCTCAACATCTTATTTGGGGGTGGGGGAGGAAAGGGGAAGGTGGAGCTGACCTGGACAGAAGGGACCCATAGGTATGCGCTTTGGGAATCCTGCACCCTTCCTGTGCTGGCTGCTGCTCAAGGAACTGCTCCTATATGGGGCAACGGGTCTGACTCTTGAGCATGCTTGACTTCTTCCCTTACGCACTGGCACCTGGAAGTGACTGCTTGTGTTATTCACATAGCAGCCATGCCATTTCTGCATGCCAGAGGAAATCTGGATAGCTGCAAGAGCCATACCTGAATCGCTTGTGAGCACCAGTGTAGCTGCATCTGCCTTACAGCAACCTGATTGCGTGCCCAGGAGCAAACCCCAACAGTTGTGTAACATCTTCTGGGCGCCTTGGTTTGTCTGTGGTTTATGGTAGTCACCTATTTGGCAAAGAGTAGTTGAGCACTAAGTGAAGATAAAGGCAGTGCTGCAACATCTGAGCATGGAGGTGAGCCTTGACATTCAGAAGGATTCTCATCAACTTCACTAGGAGCTGATGCTAGTGCTCAATAAGGGATTTCTCTGATGTCCCTTAATTAAAGCATTCTTTTGTCTTGATTAATAGTCAAAATCATCATTAATATTAAAGATGATTTTCCTTAAGGGCTTTTTTGCTCCAGATTGTGCTAAGTTAATATTTTTTCTTATTAAAACCTAATTAAAAGAATAGATTAACAGTATGTTTTCAGCTTGTGACAGGTACTGCATTGTGCATGGAGAGGGTTCCTTTCCAGGCAGCAGTTTATTCTGAAGTAGAATGAATAGGTTTTTTTCTCAAATAGAATGACTTACTACTTCAGATGCTTTAGTCTTATGAATTGGCTGATTTCCTCAGAAACGTCCTAGAAAGTAGATGTGCTAATGTTAACGTATTAGTGGTGAAGGCAGAAAGGGGACAGAGGTTGGAAAACTTTATACAGACCGTCTTGGAAAGCCTGCAGCACTGCTGGACCTCTTTGAGTCAGAGGTTTCAGGTTTAGGTAAAAAGCCATGTTTAATCAAATTCTATACACCTTCAGTCACTGTGGCTTCTATGGAGTTGCTGGTTGAGTCTAAAGCTGCAGGGATAGAGTTTCAGTAACTTGCTGTATAGTAAGTAATACGTCACATCATTACATCCTTACTGCGGTAGACATGTTGAACAAGAAAGTAATTGAGATCCTGCTCTACCCAGTTCTGGTTTGGGCCTGGCACTGGGACATTAACTCATGATTGCAGCTGCAGTGGATTTTCACAGGAGAGATCCCTTAGTTTGGGAGCCAGAAATGAGTAGCGTTTTTGCTTGTTCTTTTTGCAAATGCCACCTCTTTTTGACATGTACGTTGTGGTGAAGGTGAGTGTGAAGATTTGGCTCACCTGGAATAAAGCTGCCTACAAACAGAGGTCAAATAGGCAGGATGGAGTTTCATTCCTGAGATAAGCCAAAGCCACATCATTCTGGGGAGGTGCAGGGATAGCTGTGTGCTCACTGACAACCGAGGAGCTGTCAAGCACTGAGCTGCTGAGAGTGGAAAGGGATATGCAGGTCGAAGCTGGCCTGCCGTTCTGTTGCAGTGGCTCAGTTGAGATCAGGTTCCATATGACTCTGCTGTGGGAGGACTGTGTGGCTTCCATAAGCATCTGAGACCACAGGGAGGCTTTCTCTGAGTGAGCTGGAAAGAGCTTGTCTTGCTTTGCTCCTGTTTGAAAAGAACATGACGTTACTCATCACAAATCTTTATGCTTGTTGACTCTCTAGAGATGCTCTTTTATAACAGCTTGTTGAGATATGCGGCAGAGTATTTAGCCTTGTTTTCAGAAAGTGATAGCCTCTGAGTTAAGGCTTGTTTATGTGGAAAGCAGATTGAGTTTTATATATATGGACAGAAATGGATATGCCTCACCTTGCCAGAAAACTTGCAGCATGCATGGAAGCAGCCCCCATGCTCATTGCACCTCCAAGGATTAGCAGCAATCTTTGTTTCTGTCTTTGTCCAGGTACTGTGCTTGTAACATTTCTTAGCCAAATCAAAAGACCTGCTAAGTTCCTTTCTGTGTTTCTGGAATGGCAAACTGGCATTACAAAGTGCACTTCGTGTTACCTGGTAGAGTAACTGGCCTTCAGTTTTATATCATGAACTGCTAAAGAGTTTCCTCAAAAATGGTGTGTATCTTAGTGCTTGCATTCACTGCTGCCATAGAAAATCTGCATCCCTTATGTTGGGTCATCCTCCACGCTCTTTGAGCCTGGGAGGCTCAGCTGCGTGGCTCCATGGCTTCTGAACAGCTCCTCATGTACCTGTTGTAACGGATAAAGCACAACAGCATCATAGGGGTTTTTGCTCCCAAAATGCTGGTGATATGATGGTAACACCTAATGAAATTTGCAGTGTTTTCTAGCGCTTTACCTCATGGGCCTCTGTTTCAGACACTGCTACATGACACTGGTGCCCCAGGGTGCTCAGTGGGGTTAGAGATGTCCCTTTACCATGGGTCTCCTGATCCATCCCCATTTACTGTGATTTAGTTCCTGTTGCAGAGCATTTTCAGGGCATGTGAGTGAACTTCCTTTGGATGAAACAGCTGGAAGAGACCTTCATGGAGAACACCTTAATGTGTCCAGCTGCTAGTGGATGTTCAGTAGATGGAACAGACTAGCGCTGGCCTGCAGGACGTATATTGTAGATACTGGGTTTCACTTGACAGATTGCTTTCTTCTATGTACTGGCACAGACTTGGCTGTGGGAGGTGTCAGTTTCTGGATCTTCTGGTGACAGTGAGTCCCCTTGTCTTTTAGTGAAGGATCAGTGCATTTGCCTGCATAGGGAACCTTTGTTCTTATGATTCTGATGCCTGCTTCTCATTTGAAAAACTGTCAGATCCTCCTTCTATGAGTAAGTTTCACCATGGATCAGAGCACAGGATGCCAGTGGCCATGGGGCCTGTTGATGCCCTCAGTGGTAGAGTCTGAACTGAGCTATTTAATCTTTAAGTTCTAGACTAGACCTTCCTGCTACATCTAGCCTTTAACCTTAGATAACACAATATATTATTTTCTCGAGTTGACAATATGCTGAAGCAGAAAAAAATTCCATAGAGCAGCAGTCGTTTATGAGGTGTTGAACTGATGATCTGCTGATGGGTAATCAGTGGTACACAGCTGGAAGACAAGTCTTTGGTCATCTGCCCATTTACATCAGTCCAGAAGTTTCTGTAAGCTTCAGTGGGGAAAGCATTGGATGTGCAGTTCTGTATATACTCCTTGACACGGAAGTTGGTAACAAAGTTGTAGTTGGTTATAACTCATTACATGATATAAACACGGTGCAGTTCTCTGTCAGGTAGCTGATACTGGAGACAATGACTGATTTAATGAACCTACGTTCTTATGCCTTTTTCTCTCCTTTGCTTTGCAGAAGGTGGATGTTCCCATGATGCTGAGACACCTGCGGGAGCAGAGGATGTTCATGATCCAGACCATAGCCCAGTACAAGTTTGTCTACCAAGTGCTCATCCAGTTCCTGCAGAACTCCAGACTTATTTAACCTTTCCAAACATCCCAGACCCTGCTTTGTGGATCTGACTGAACCTTACTGACGAACAAGAGGAACTGCCTTGACAACGCTGTGTGCATGTATTGCACTTCTTAAGGTTGTCTTGAAAGTAAGGAATGCTTGTTCTTTACTAGCATCTCCCATGGATTATTTTATACAAGATATAATTTATTTTTCTTGGAATAACTTGTGAATTACTTTAATAACTTGTAAAACTTACAGTGACCTTCAAACTGAACCACATTCGCATAACTGGTCTGCATTGTAACATGTCCCTAAGGAAAGCAATCCTTTGTAAAGGTAGTTTGCTGGCTTTTATTTTGCTGCACGGCTTCTGAAATGAGCAGTTATTTGGAGGTGGGTTTTTTCTCATGTAAGAACATTCTGGACCCAGATATGCGGTGTCCATGGTATGAACAAGACCTGCTACAGCTACAGTTCTGTTTGAGTGGAAGCTGTGGGAACACAGTCCTGGAGCATGGAGCCCTGAGCCGCTGCACTCACAGCAGTGCACGTTACAGAGGGCTCAAACACAGGACATTGTGAGGGCAGAGTGTTTGGGTGCTAAACTGTTCAAATTCCACAGGAATTAAGGTTTTAGATTAGGCCTTGAAAAAAAAAAGCAATATTGGATCTTTTAAATGAGGCCTTTGCTACTGTCTGCAGTCCTTGAAGGGGTTCAGAAGAGCTGAAGCACTGCAGGGTGAAGGGCAGTGACCTGGAGCAGACTGAGGTCAGTGGATGGGTCTTTCTGGTAACTGTGGTGGGCTGTGGGTTAAACAGCAGAGGAATTTCAACTCAGTGCTGCTGAAAAAAAACCTCAAACGGAGCACCTTCTTACGGATTACACTGCCTTGAGGCTCACCTCCTGTAGAAAAGGAATCTCATTCAACTTAGGCATCTCCAGTTGCTTTAGTTTTATGTGTAAGCTACTGTCTTCATCGTCATCATTTTACTTTCTAGTCATTTGAACTCTGAATCGTCATTATGGTCTTTCCTCCGTATCTGAGATCTCCAAACAGTGACCCTTGAGAGCTTTAGCTCAGAGTCTGCTGGAGTCTTCCCCATCACTCTCTTGTGGTTTCTGAGCACAGGGAGCAGTCTGTCTTTTGGTGTTGGCCAACCTCACTTTGTTAGGGTATTTACTGTATTGAATTGCACAGATCATCTGTCTTCTCTGTCTGGGTCACTTTGGATTCTCCCTCCTATTTATTACTATTTTATCTAGGTAGTGTTCAAGGATTCCAGTGAGGATTCAGAGGATGATATGTATTTATGTATAATAACATAAAGGAGAAATGGTCCTTGCCTGGAGTTTACAACCAGAAAAGCAAAGGGAAACAAACCTCATCCACTGCATAACTAGGGCACAGATCCTTAACTGGCTTGCCCTAGGCCAACAGTGAAATCTGTAACAGAGCTAGGAAGAATGTCCTAGGAGTATCTCAGCCCTCTCCTCCTCTGTCTCAGCACTGGCTAGCTACTTAGTATGACTTGGAGCATATGCCTTTCTCCAAACTGTTCATTTCACAGGAGTATAGCACGTTATGAATTACCTTGCAGTGTGTGCGTGGCTTTTATGTACAGTTAGTTAGAAGTGACAGTAACTGCACTTTTAAAAGATATTAAAAGGGATAAAACAGAATTAAAACCAAACCAGCCAACCAAAGCTTTAGCAGATCGTGGTGGGTCTCCCACAGTTACTTCTGGTGTAAGAGATGGCAAGTTCCTGCACTGAGGTTGCTCCCCTCCCTGCACTGACTCCTGTTTCCTGTGGGCAGTCCTGATGGATGGCTGGAGGATGGATCAGGCTGGAGAGGAGCCCTCAAGGTCTCTGCTCCCTCTCTGCCCTGCTCACACCCCAGCTAACTAAATGGGAGGGGCTTGCCCAGTGTCACATCCAGCTTCAGAGGTCTGCAAGGGTGGTGATGTTGCAGCCTCTCAGGGCAGTTACTCTTTCATGGTGAAATTACCTTTCTTGGTATCCCTTTCCCAGATTAAATTAAATCTTTTAGTCCTATTATTGCTTTTCCATTGCATTCCCTCCTCCAAACCCCTGGTCAGTGTCTGAAGGCCTAAGCTGACAACTTCAGCACTAGAAGGGGCCCACACACTGGCCCCTGCCTAAAATCAGTGGGAGTTTAAGTTAAGGCTCAATACCAGAATGTGTCTTAAATGTGTTTAAACCTTGATTTGCTACTCTGCCACAGAGGCCTAATGAGGTGATGAGGATTGGTGGAGGCTTCCAGCTACCAGCAAATGGTGAGGAGTTATTCAGCTGTAATATCTTGACCGTATTCCTTTTAGGGCTTAGTTGGGTTTTCAGTCAACTTCAGTTTTCCTCTGATTCTTTTGCCAATGCCAACACAGATCTTGTTAAATTAGCAGCAACCATTTAAAGTCTTTGCAGCAGCATCTACATGATAATTACACAGGGATGCTTTCTATCTGGGAAACAGGCCAAGGAATAAACCTTGAAGCAAAGCGTATTAAATTAGTTATCTCGTTAGAACTTTCTGAATAATTTCCTAATGATGAATTAAGTTTGAACTCAGGGCTGTCAAGTCCCATTGCTCCACCTGGATGTGAGAAGGGAGGGAAAAGAAACCATCCCTATGTCTTATTATTCAGCTGCTCTTGGCTGAAACGTCTACTTCTGTTTCTACAGTGAGCACAGGATAATTATTGCATAAGAGAATGTAGAGCTGTGATTGAAAGGAAGAAGATTAAGCAAATGGTTTTTATGCAAAGATGCATCATAGGTGTCTTAGGAAAAATATTAATTACAAAATGGCACCAAAAATCCTTTCCATATTAAATCAGTGCCTATTAATGAGCTAAGTGAGTGGTCATGGCGTAAACAGCCATTTCCACTTGCCTCCTGCCGTGCCTGCTATGGTAGATAGAGGCCAATGTGACTCACTTTTTCCTCTTCATTGTCAAAGAATGATAATTTTAAACTTTCCCTTTCATCTGACTTCAGTGTATTTTTTCCAGCTAGATTTTATCTTGACTAGATCTGCTAATACCGTAAATGAATTGGGCTGGTGCATGTCTTCAGAGGTCCCTTTCCACCCCAGCTTGCAACCAAACCTCAGCGTGCCGATGCTTTATGATTGAAATGTGATACACTTTTGTAGGGGAAAAACTGAACCTGCTGACTTTGAACCTGTTGTAGTTTTATCACACTGAAATTGCTTGGGCAGTATTTCCTAACCTTTAGGGAGTGACAGGAAAATGCATTTTGCATCCAATTTTATTAGTCATAGCAGGAATGAACGCATGAGACTTAAAGCAACAGTACGGTTTAGTTTCTGTCCCACAGACCTTAAACAGTGGAGTCCATAAGTAGAAAAGGACAGCCTGGAGCTGCTGTATGTTGTGTTGCATGGGTTTAACATCAAAGCATGACAGGTTCCAAGAGACCAGTGACCAGTTTCATCCGTTTGGAGGAAAGTCTGCATTGAAAATCCCACAGCGATGCATCCACGGTCAATGAATGGAGCCGCTCCTTAAGAAGTTTGACACAAGTGGTCTTCTCCCAAGGCACCCATGTTCATATTCAGCCTATGCTCCCTGACTCTTGGAATGGATGAGTAAGTCTGACTTGGGAATCCTTTTTGTGCACTCTTTACCTGTACTTAACCTGTCTTTTCTCTAAGTTCTCACCAATGATAGTATTGAGGTGGCTGGCCTCCAGTCTTCAGTTAATTTTGGTCTGAGCATTTCATGCCTGACATTGTCTGATCAGGGATGGGGAGAGATGACAGCTGAGCTGTGAGGATGGTGGACATGAGCTGCTCAGGTCCCACTTGTTCCAGCTCCTCCACAGACCTGCTTTGGCACCTCAGGTCCTGGATTAACTGAGGGGGACGATGAAGCTTGTTCCCACAAGCCTTCTATATAGATGATAGGGACCCTAAATGCTCAGCCTTGTTGGAAATACCTTTTCCCTGAACTAGTTTCAGCTGGCAGGAGACACATCTGTGAGGTTTTATTCAACCTATTGCTAATGAAATCCTTTATAAAAGTATACTGAAGGACATTTCTGTTCCACTTATTTAAAACAGTTGCCTCACTCCAAATATTAATAAATAATATTTGCATGATTTCAGTAGCTTTATTTTTAATTACTTTCTTGTAAGCAGACAAATGCAAATGGCAAATCATCACTTGGTAAAGAGTGAGTAAGTCTTGGTGCTTCAAGAGAGATGGTCATTCCAAACTAATACATTATTGTTTTGATCCAGTATCTGCTGCCTCTGTAGCCCAGAAGCCGCTCTAAAGTAAATGATGACGGGCAATGTCATACATGGATACAGCACACAAATCCACAGGGAAAATGCAGCAGCCACTGATCATGCTGCATTCTCAACACCTGACTTCTCCTCCCAGGAGACCAGGGGGATCATGATTGCATTGGTTGTTGTCAGTCTCACTTACAGTTTGTGATCCATGTGCTCAGAAAGCGGAAGCATCAGTGTGGGTGATACCTACTGTGCCAGCTCCTGGGCATCGCTGAGAGAGGCGAGGGTTAAATTCTGCTGCTTGTCTTTGTGGGAAAGGACACTTTACATCCAGAGTGGTGGGGTGGCACCCCTGCATGCAATAAAGGATGCATTGCGTTGAAGGAGCAAATACCAGAACTGAGCCTGAAGGGGAAGCACTGCATGAAAGCAGCACCTCACACCCCTCTACAGCGGTGTCAATCTGCTGATGTATAGTCCAAGTCATATGAGGTTTGGTGGCAACAAGAGAGAGGTTTCAAGTTCAAAATGCCAAAGGCAATTGTCCTCGGCTCGTTCTCAGCCTTCTAGAAAAGTTTTCTTGTAGAATCTGGTGCTGTGTGATGTACAGATGCCACGTGAGGTTGGAGAAGAGGAGGACACTGCACAGGCGGCTGTGTGGCTTGGCTTGCAGGGACTGTGATTTGGGGAAGGGAAGCGCTGGCTGCTGGGGCTGTGAGATTGTGAAACATGTAGTGCACAGCTCAAAAGTAGCAGTGCTTAAATCTTGTCAGAGTTTTTAGAGTATCATCTTGGACTGCAGTTCCATTGCTCTCGGCCATTTTTGGCCAGTGTGTTCCTTTGTGGTTCCATTGCCTGTCCTTTATGTGTGTCCTCACTGAGCATTTCACATGTTACAACAGCAGGGCTTTGCTTTTGGAGGGTGAACTGGAAGTCAGTGGTGAAGTAGTGCTGGGATTCTTCAGTGAAAGCTGCTCTTGTACAGTGAGGGCAAGGCCAATGCTTCTGCTGATCCCTGAAACATGCAGTGCTCAATAGTTTTACTCTGCCAAATCACGTGGGCAAGACACTGCTCCAGGTATTCCAGGGGCACTGTTCCCTGATGAGACAGGCAGCAGGACACAAGGGCTTCCTTGCTCTCTTGGACAGTGGCTGGTAGCTGACTCTTTAAGAGGAAAGATGTCTAAGGGTGCTCAACCCCTTCAGCAGACCTGGCAGCCAGTCCTGCAGGGCCTTCCTGAGGCCAAAGCTGAGTCCTGCTTACTGTGTTTAATAACTGCTGATGGAGCCATCTGCCATGAAACCTCTTCTCTAGCACCCATTTCCTCCTCTGGCCTGCATGATGTCCTGCGTTGGTGAGTTCTACAACTTAATCATGCATTAAGCGTCTAAGAACTTTCTTTTCTGTGCACGTTAAAAGTTATTTTCTTGCTGCTAGTTGGTCTTTGACAGAAAACAAACAAATCTTTAGTGCCAGAACACCGTTAACAGGATGTTTATCCCGTTGCAACTGCGCCATATGGAAACCACATTTTCCTTACTAGTCAAGTACCTTTCTTGGGCAATTTTACACAGGAGAAAAGTTTACACATGCAGATGACTGTAATATTCCCCTATATAATTGTGTGGGACACGTTAAATAACATGTTTAAGTAAGTTTTATGTCACTGGATTTTACTGCCCTGTTTTACTTCAGTATTTCGATGCTTCCTCGTTTGTTCTGTAGCTGTGTATGTGACAGTTCAGCACAGAACAGTGAGCTGAATCTCACCACCGTGTTGTATGTACACCATTTGTAGAGACATGAGACAGCAGTTATGTGCCCTTCCTGCCCCCCCCACTGCCTCCTGTCAGGGCTGAATGGCGGAACTATTCTATGCTATTGAAAGCCTTTAAAGAAAAATCTATGCATGCTATTTTATATTCTAATGTATTATTCATATCAGTCCATAAGCTTATGCTTGTCAGTTTTATCTTGTGTATAGAACTGATTACTTTTGACAGTATTTTTGCACTGTTTCTCTTCCTTCTCTTTTTATAAAGTTCTATTCAGCATTAATTGACTGCAGTAATTTTTTTACCCTTTTAACTGCCTTTGTGTAAATAGTTTATGACATACTTTGGCAAATACGAGAATGTTTCCAGTCACTAAGGTTTTTTGGTAAGGCTGTCCTTCATATTCACAGTATACAATAAACTGGTGGTTTTTTTCAAGGAAAACCTTGCTTGTGCTCTGTGTTCTCTTCTGTAACAGCTTAAGGTTTTGTGTTTGCACCTACCGTGCTTGTGTTAGCTTCCCATGGTAAACTGACAGGCACAGCCAGGGCTGCAGCGAGTTTCAAGAACCTTCTGTAAGGGCAAGGCTCCCGCTGGTGATCCTGCTTGGCTAAGCTGATTCTTCAGCGTTGAGGTATGGTCTGGGCTCTGGAGAGGCTTTCTGAAGTGAAGGTGCTACTTCCCTGGCATGAGGGTTTACTTGACAAGATAAGGTTAGGATAAAAATAGCTGGTGCCCTCTTCCTTGGCTTCCTGGAATCGTAAGATCTGGTGCAGTTTTACACACTCCAGCAACAACTGCTGGCAAGGGAGCAATGAAAGCTTTCAGCAAAATGAAAGCTTGTTCTCTAGCAGTTTTGTTTTCAGAGCAGTGCTTAAAAGAAAGGAAATATGATGGAGTTCTTGATGATGAGCTGTGCTCTTTATCTCATCATACTTTATAAGCTATGAACACCATAAGCAATGCTCCTGTAGTTTTACTGTGCAACATATTTCAACTTTGGTGGTGGGAGTACACACAGCCACACTCTTGCTTCCTCTTCCCTCCCCCAGCCTTAAATGCAATCTCCCACCATTCATCCCTGGCAGTGTTCAAGGCCAGGCTGGATGGAGCATTGGGTGACATGGTCTAGTGTGAGGCATCCCTGCCCATGGCAGGGAGCTGGAACTGGATGATTCCAGTCCTTTCCCACCCAAACCATTCTGTGATTCTATTTTATGAAGGGGAAAAAACCCCACTCTCCAGGCTTAACTTTCTCTGCCCATGCTTAAGTCCTGGATTTTTTTTCTCCTCAGAACATGTTCTTGTTCCTCTCTCAAAAGTTAATTCTAACATATGAATGTTTTATATAGAGTAGAATAGTTTTACTTCACTAGAGGCAAAGGTATGGCTATAAGGAAATACGAGCTCTCCTCTGCACTGAATTCACTTTAACTTGTAAAGAGGGTTAAAAAGCCAGAAGCAAGTTGCATCATTCCTGCCTTGTGCAAGCCTTCCAGCTCTGCCCTAGGCACCAGCATTCCCTGTACAGGACACGCTGAGGTCCGGGGCCTTGCAGTGATGAACCCCCTGGGACTGGCACTGCAAACAAAAACGATTAGTGAAAAGAGGACCTGGATGCTAAACCACAACTGAAAAAGTACAGCTTTTGCTAGTTATTTAGTTAGATTAAATAAAACAGCTTAGGCAAAAGTGGATGTCACAAAACCATTGCACCCAAGAAGGGTCAAGATGACTTTATTTACTTAAATAAGGTACACGTTAAAATCTAAAGAGACAAAAATGGCCACTTTTGCACATGAGCTGTCAAAAGGCATCACCTTTAAGAAACTATGGATGCATCCTTAAAACAAAAAATACAGGGAAAAAAAGGCAATTGTAGATGTGTGGAAGCTGGGCACATTTTGCCAGGCATAAGTGTGTTTGTCATTCCAATTACAGGCCAGAACCGTGCTCATACTCTACCGCATTTCAAAGTGCTCCTGAAGGCTTCCATAACAAGGCTTTTAACTAAAGGTTTGAGGGATTGCATAGATTCAAAGGCTCAGTGGTCCTCTAATTCCTTTTTGATCTCTGAAATGTATGGATGATCCTTCCCGTGTGCTACTTCCATGATAGCAATTGCCTATGAAAAGAAAAAAAACTATTCACACAATTGATTCCTATATAACACCAGGCTATAAATACTCACTTTAGAGGTTTGAAACAGTCTGACACCTCTGGCTACTTTTTGTCCCCTTGTAGTCATAAACGCAGTAGGAAATAAAATGGAATTCAAAACTAAGTAATAAAGGTTTTACATTCAGAGAACACATCTTTCATCTTACAGGGTCCCAAAGCACCTTTCAAAATGATATTCCTGACAAAACCACTTTGAATGCAACCAGCTCTAGGACAGAAAACTGCGAGTGGGGTGGGTGATGTTCTGGCAGAGGACTTGACTTAAGCACTATCAGCCCCAGCTTTGTTCCTACCAGTTAATCCTTCAGCTGTCAGAGCAGGCCCACTGCAGAAGTTGCATTAAGGCATTCTAGCCTTGCTTTTATAAACCCTCCATCAGTTCCAGGGGTTCCCAAAGGAAGCGATGGCTCAGCCAGCCACTGAGGCAAAAGCACAGTCTTGCCAGCTCTGGCCAGAGGCTGCTGTGCCCATCCCTGCTCTTGCTCCCAAAAGCCAACGTTTCAGGCAGCTGAACCCACTGATGTGCACTTCACCCTGCACTGTGGGGTGGGTGCAGAGGCAAGATACCCACTTGAGAAAAGGATAGCAGTGGCCCCAGAGAGGTGTAATAAAAGGCAGCAGTAGGTAAGACTGAAAGAAGCAAGTTCAGAGTAAGTCTGATAACATGCCCACCATGCTAAGATCAAGCAAGGAACGGTGGCATTCCAGCTCTCAGAGCACACAGTCATTTTCTCCTCAGGAAACTCCGAGGGAATTTTGCTCTTATATTTAAATCAGTGCAGTAACAACCTTTGGTTCCACCTCAGGAGCAGTGAGAACTGACCCCACTGCTGCTCCTGCCCAAAAGAAGCAAGGAGGAGGGCCTTCTGGAGGAGCTGACTGCAAACAGAGAGAGAACAATGGCTTTGTTTTTTCACTAAATCCCAAACAGCAGGGGCTGGGATAACTTTGGGCAGTTCCCGTAGGCAGCTTTTGGAAGTGAGTCATTAGAAAACATTTGTGTTAGGAAGTGAACTATGCCAACAAACCTACCTACAATTCCCAGCCCCCAGCCCGTGTTCCTACTGGCACAACTCCCAGTTTTAGTCAAAGCTTTAACACCACAGCAAAAGAAAACCTATGTTAAATTTAAACTAGGTAACAGTTAAGGTTTAGAGTATATATTTGTGTAGCATCTTTCACCATGGCTGCATGGCTCTGTTATTGCTGGCTAAAAACTTGCCAGCATCTAAAAAGGAATTAAAAAACCAACTGCGGTGCCATTCCACACCAACTCATTATATGCTACAGTAGTCACTGAGGCCTAAGAAATGACAATAAACTTCTGTCCAACAACAACAGGGGAAGGGAGTCAAGAAACATGGTACAGCCTAATAAAAAAAAGAAAAACCTAAAGAATAAGGGAATAGACTAATAAAAAGGGATGAAGAAAAACATAAACCCAAATTCTGTATATGCCAACTGCAGCATTACCAGATGCATTGAATTCCCTTCAGCTATTTAAAAATCGATTTGTTCCAGAACAAATAACCACCAAAAGCACGCCTAGTTTAGCTAGGATATAGTTTAACTGCATAGAGAAACCACAGGCTTCAGGCAAACACTATGTGTCTTTTCTAAGAGCCAAGCATTTTCTCTGTCCTTACCTAGCAAGTGAGAAACTGGAGTTCTCCATTTACAGGAGCACAGCTCTAGCTCAGGGAAGAACATAGCAAATGCTTAAGCATATATGTAACTCCATATGACCTTAAGCACACAGCTCCAGCTGCTGCAGAAGTCTGCCATGACAAGGCAAGACCCCTTGCATGCAACAACAGACCGATACTGCATCTTTCCAAAAGAAAAACTGAGCCCCAAATCCAGTAACCAAATACATTATTAACACATGGTGCATTTCCTACCACGCCAGGCCTGCTGACAAGAGCAGCACATAGTGTTTTCAGTGACCCCATGCCTGAACTGGTACTGTTAATGAAGAAACCTGGAAAGAAATACCTTCTTCAGGGCTTTAACTCCAGCTGCTCTGTTCTCCAGTGCCATGTAGAGTCTCCCCAGTTTCAGCCACATGGAAGCAACATTCAGTGAGTAGGGGGGATAATGTTTACTGTAAGAGAGAAAGGGGTTCAGTTTCATCAAACCTGGCAGTTCCATTGCATTTCCCCAGCCCCTGTATCCCTCTCAGGGGGCAAGAAGCTGCCTCTCATTGTCCCTGCCCATTCTCTGCTCATCCCCCTGCTGTGACTGCCAGGAGCCAGCGCCAGTTGCGCCTGGGATAGAGAGGCTTGTCCACGGGGAATCAAGCTGAAACTGCCATATGCCTCTGAACAGCTGTCAGATGGCAATGACTTTCTGCCACTAGTTTTAATCTAGCCAGCTACAGAAAGAGGCTGCATTGTTTGGAGGTTTTGGAGCCACAGAAGTAACTCTGCCTATTCCACAAAAGAGTTGGTCTTTAAAGGAAGGCGAGGGGCCCTCAGCAGCGCTACAGCACACACGCCACCCTGTACTCACCGAGCTAGCAGAGTCCAGCTCAGCAGAGCTGACCTGGAATGCCAGGCTCTGAGCCAGAGGAGCTGGGCAAGTCCCAGGGAAGATAAATAGTACTGCACCCCCAGGAGGGGGAATGTTGGCTCCTTCTTTGTATCGCTGTTCTCTGCCAAGTGATCTGTGACTTTACTTTGGCATCTGCTCCAAAGTGAGAGCTTTACTTGCACTCCCCCCAGCTGGCAAGAAAATGATGTCTCAAGATGAGAATCTGCTTGGGAGATTTATGGCAGGATCAGATACAGCGCGTAACTGGCTGGCTCTGATGAAGGAAATCACTACTGTTAAGAACACAGGAGGACTGATTGGAGAGGGGATGGATTTCTCCCTGCAGAGGCTGCGTGCTGCCTTACCCCACACTGGCCTCTAGCCTGTGCATCTCCCACACCTCCAGCTCCAGGGCAGTGGAGCTCAGGGATCTCAGGGCACCCAAGATCTCCCTCTGCTGCTCAACCTCAGCCCTGGGATACTGGAAAAGGGAAAGGACTGGAAGAGGACTGGAGGCACAGCAACAGCTTTGCCTCCATCACATGATGCAACCCAAAACTCTGCTTTAGTAAAGTATTAGGATATTAAAAACCCCACAAATTTGCTAAGCAGAACTAGCACAGTCTCTAAGGAGGTACAGACTTACTTTGAGAACCCAAAGCAAGGCTCTCAGTCACCTCCTGCTACATCTTGCAGATCGCTTTTTGACAGAAACAACATCTACCCCAGCATTACACGTTCCTTTTCAAGCAGCCATGTCATGAGCAGCATGTTCATACAACACGTACTGAAAGAAGTGATGGCAGTCCAAACTTTTCTTAATTATTCAGATTACTGAATTAGAGTACTAAAGAAAATAAAGAGTCTCATATTTACCTGTATGGCCTGATAATCTTTTGCCCATAACGCAGTGCACCTTCCCAGTCCTGCACGTAGAGACACACACCCATGGCCTGGTACATCATATGTAACATATAAACATTACTGTTTTCAAACACTGCACCCATCTTGTCCAGGCTCAGTTCACAGATCTCCAGTAACTCGCTAGGAGGTATGAAGTCAAGGAACCCAATAAGTAGATGGCCTCTCATTAGATGACTACCTGGTAATGCCAAAGAAGCACAGACTTGACCTTGTTCACAATGGTTTTCGGAAGTCATCTTTTCTTTCAAATGGCATCAAAGCATCTTTGATACAACCCCAGAGCTACTCTGAGGGGTATTCTGTACTCAGAGGTATTCTGCTCATGAGTTTATTCCCCTCCTACTCAGACATTCTACAAAACTAGCTTTCACATTTAAAAAGCAACAACAAAAAGCAGCTTTCCTGGTTCACCACTGCACCGACAATATGCCAGAAGAAGGGGGAGTGAAATTCCCCATGCAGCAGGTACTGAATCAGGCGTGACACAGCCTGCTCTGCTTCTGGCCCAGTGAATCTTGCATTTTTGTCTGCCACACCACTGTTAGAACAGCTAGGCTTGTGATCCCCAGCAATA